AAACTGTTTTAATTCACAGTTTCATATTGAATTTTGAACCTCCGGCCCAGTAACCAAGTCTTTACTTTTACTTAGAAAAGTATGGGGCTCCCGAAGTATGCGAACCAAGATGGCGGACATCGGAATGTAATATGTGTACTAGGTTAGGGTTAGGCCATAATTTTAGCTATAAATACTACGGGAGGCTCTTGGCTAGTCTTCGAACTGATAATAGGACTAAAATAAGGAAAATTGGAAAAAAATTATCGCCTAACCCTAACCTGTTACCCATGTTACGTTCCGATGTCCGCCATCTTGGTTCGCATACTTCGGGAGCATCGAAAAGTAATTGCCCACCCCTGCTTTATAATGTTGTGCCATTTTAATTGAATTTAATGTTACTTGCGGTTGCGCCAACAATAAAGCGCTGATACTTTTGCATTTTGCGTTTACGTTTCAAAGGTTATTTAAATGTTCGAAGTGGACCAAGTTTGAGGGAAAAAATTTCGGGAATGCTGACTTAGGGATAACATATATATAGCAATAGAAATTTGGACAATAGGGTGAGTGTGACGTCAAACAAGTGTTTATAACGTTACCAATGCATGCCCTCCCTTGTGTTATTTGTAGTCGCTTTGGGCTTACCAGCCATACGTCTCGGTTTAGTCGGGACATTCCGATTTTGACAAGCTGCTCAGGCGTCGCACCCAGTAGATTTAAATGTCCCGGTTATGGAGTATGACATATATATATATTTTTTCATTAATTAGATCTTTTTTTTTACATTTTTTATGGAGCCAGTCCATTCAGCGCCTATTTACGCCTCAGTATGGGAGAACTAGTATATATATATATATTTTTCAAAATTAGTATATATACCGGTATGTTTGAATTATTCAAAATCCACGATAGAAAGTGCACGTTTTTCAAAGATTTGAATATTACTAATTTTTATATGAGTTGAATATTATTACTAAGCCTCGGAATCGAACCAAGGTTGTCCAATCCGCACTGTCCCATTTTCGTTTCATATATATATGGTAAGCATAAATGGCCACATACAATTGTCTCCATAGTGGTATTTTTTAGATGTAATGTTTTGATGTCCACTTTGAGCATGAGGATAATAAAATCCCGCACAATAGGAATGACGATAAGGTGTCGGTTCACCGTATAATAATCAGCGATTTTTCGTTTGGTCGAGTACAAAATTATCTCGTCAATTATTCTTTCAGGATGCACGGACTTGGATGTTGGAGAAATCCATATGCGATATGCGGCTACGAAAACCACCGAGAATGTGGAATCCAGTGGTATTCAATGCTAGTCTGCTATTTATATCACTCAAGCAAATGCCGCATCAATTTACTATTTCAATGAAAAAAAATTCCGTCTATGACTCATCGGATGTTCCGAAGCGGCGTCTTTATTATGTGCATACGCTTTTATCGCCGAATTGCACAGCTATTTCTATTATAATATTGATGAATATCAGATCGTGTGCAGGTTCAAAGCTCGTAGGACACAATTATGAGCGTGAGGAAAGCTAAACTCCTCGATGGCTTTATCCACCTCCCACGACCTGCATGAGGTTAATAAAATATTTCCAAACCCGACTGACGACCGGTCGAGAGAAACTCTCTATATGATTAATTAATATATATACATATTCATTCAAAATCGGATAATCTCAAGAGGTCATTGCTAAATACAACGGTAATTACCCTACGTGGCGTCATGGGCCTAATATTTGAATGCTGCTAGATTCAGTACAATAATGATATGTCTGTGGTGGCATGCTGATTCTTCACGGTCACATACTTACCGCTTCCCTCACCTCCATAATATGTGCATATGGAAGCTATTTCCATACTTGTCTTGAACTTAGAAAAAAAAATCCTAAACTAATCACGTGTTGGGCAACCGTTCTTCAATTGATACAGTAAAAATGGCACAGCAAATCTACTTTTATTCACACTCGTACAGCAGCAATAAATGTTCAAGAACCTACTACGCACGTCTCTAACTACCAATTCGATCGCTTGGCGCTAACGACTGATATATATCAAAGTGAGTAATATAGGACTTTAGAAGGACTGTACAGGGTAATTCTTATTCAGAAAATGTTTTGCAGACATTGGTATTGTTGTTTGTCAAGGTATTCCGAATAAAGTCATTTAGTTTTTACTAGAATCACAGATTGTTTGGCTGCAGTGTTTTTGCTTCCGACCCGTGGATTGATTTCCCATTTGATGAAAACTGTCGTGTCCTCAACCCTAAAAAATTGCAAGTTCCTCATCATTAAGCAGTATTATACGAAAGGATTCAATATTATTTCGTTTGTTCATTGAATTCCAAGAATACTGCGTGTTGTGAAATAATTCGTATTTTAATACAAATGGAATGATGGGAGCGAAAGAGCTTTTGAATTATTGTATAGATTTTTCACAGAAGCAAAGCTGATTCCTTGCTACTAACATCAAAACATTTCAGTCGATGTGACATTGTAAATATCAATGCCAAATGTATACTGAGTTCCTTGTTATGGTGAATTAGCGAATTGGATTACGTCTTAGTAAATAAAAGGTTTGCTAGAGCTCCCAGAATGTAAGTTTTGCATTATGAAAAAATGCTACAATGATGGAAAACATAAAATGTGTTTTAAAAAAATACTTTACCTTACATTGAAACTACTTTAAAATGAATGCGTGTAAAAGCGGTCATTTGCGACCGCACTTCCTCGACTTGTAATTATTCAGTAAAAATCAGCCAAGGATACGCATGGCCATAGTATGTTGCTTTATAATTAGAAGAATATTTAGTCTTGCTATGAGCGTATTATTGCGAATATTTGATGATATAGATATTGATGTTTGCGTCGCAGGAGTTTTCGTAGACTACGAGATATCTATTTTTAATGAAGTTTTGATTAAACTGGTCGTTCCACATTTTCACGATATCCAATTTCTTGACAATTTCGATCTTTCCTCGATACATTGAGTTAATGAGACCGCACGACACCTACGTACGACTTGACAATGTTTATAGCAATCCTCGCCTAATTTAACGAATTTCATCATAACGATGAAAAGCCGCCCTATGCGATCATTACACCGTAAGATAAATACATTCAAGGTATACCATGCAGAAACTGACGCCAGTGTTCTTTCTAAGCGACAACTAAGCCAAATTTATAATTAATAGGAAATATGGACTATGTTCGGTGATGAAAATACTTCACCTACATTTAACGTTGGTTTTTAAATCTGCGCTCTTTCTATTGTTCCATGTAAACGAATACCGAGGTCGCTTGATAGAATTTCAATGGCCCATTCATTTGACTCTGATTGAACATACCGTTCTGCTATAGAATAGTCTCGCTCACTGTTCAGGAAGCATATGGTATAGTAAAAACAAAGAGCACTAATGAAGCAGATGAGCGATAGGTAGTGCAAGTAGTATAGAGTGCAATTTGCTAAAATACTGGATCAGCGAAGAACTTACAATCATAATCCCACACCTCGTTATTTTATTTTAGTTGTAGTACCACGTACCATGAATGTTAATTTCGTTCCTTCATCCGTGTAAAATTCTGTGGCTTCAGTCGACGCCGTTCTTACTAGCAGCTTGTATTCTCATTTTAACACGATGCCACTCAGATCGATTGTGAATTTTTGCTTCGATCACATATTCAGATACTTTCATGAGGCGTTTAGTGCGCAATTTTATTTTGGGTAGATTTACAGGTGCCATATTTTACTAAATTGAGCCAACTTGTAAACTTACTGCACTTTTCGAATTGTGGTGCCAAGGGGAGATAGCGGCGAAAGTCGATTGGTATTATTATTATTCTCGTTAGATGTTCCAATGCTTATCCTCGTTATGAGGGCGTATTTTATGATAAAAGGGATAGTTATGGGATTTGTTAGCAAATTGATAATATTTACAGCGAATATATAAATGTTTAATTACCAGCTACTGGAGGGTAAGATTCTCTTTAATGTGATGATTTTTCATGGCACAGATCCTGATACGGATTCATCATAATACGAAAGTTATTACAACTCGTGCATACCAAGTAAAATAATACGAGCATTTTCTAGATTATAAACTATGAGCGATAAAGTTTTAACTTCGCCATGCCACGTTCATATAGATTGTGGATGGCGTCAATCTACCATCAGAAAATGAATTTAAATCATGTTATATTATTCTCGTTTATTACACGCGAAGCATCGTCAAGCGCCAATATTTAAATAATAGCGCAGGGGTTGAAACGAAGAAAATAATTTTCGAAATCGGTTCCATGGGTCTGCGATGGCAATACGCGCGCGTGTAATGTCAACTATACTATTTTGGTCACATTTTCGCTGAGACGAGCGGTTTAAACATTAACGTTATGTTTGCATTGTATTTTTTCATACCTTTATCGACCCAAACAAAGCAGTCTATGGGCCCTAAATGGATTCATTTGATGATTCATGCTAAACAGAAATCCAGTATTAATACGTATTGGCTGATTTCGTTATTATATTTGTATTGCATAAGAAGTGTGGGAAACAGGGATACGTGAAATGAATATATGTGATGTGTATTATTTTTTTCTACACGTGCGTGACATCGATTCTACTTGTTGTTCTGCTGCTGGAAGCATGGTTCCGTTGAGACGTTTTGTTGAAGCAATATGCGGAGGTGGTGGCTTTCGAACGATATACTATGATGTAAAAAGTAAAACATATGCTTTAGTGACATGCAGAGTTATTGGTTTTAGTGTACGGATTCATTGAATTTTATACAATGAGTCAGCTTTATTCCTTCATACTTTTATTCAAAGTTACTAGTCAGTATCGATGTTGCGAAAGGGATCAGAGAAAAGTATTGTTTTGCTGATCGTGGTCAACGATGACACTACACGTTGACTTCCAAATAGTTACCGATGCTTGCTAGAATTTGCATATATGTAATATATATTCTAAAATGAGTGTTGCTGAGGACTATACACAGTATACAGTATGTCGCAGCGCCATTTTAAAGTCGGTGTTCGTGTAAAGCAAAAATGTATTTAAAAATATAAAGTATAGCAGCTCTTTATTTGAAGTCATAAAAAAATATAGTTCTTGCTGGTATATCAGTTATGAGTGACTTTTCTTCCAATACGGTTTGTTATAGCTAGTCAGCAGCAGCGGTTTACATGTGTAGTAAAATGTCGCTATGTTTCTAACGCATTTTATAATAGCAGTTCCTTACCATTCTTGTAACGAGATGATAACTATAGTCTGGTTGTCTACAGTCCATATTTGTCTACAATCATCAGTAAGCAAAAATGAGCAAAATCTTTTTCAGTTATAAGAATACAAACCAATTAAAATAATTGCCTGAATGTCTAATGCTTAACAAACAGTTTAGGTCTGGTCAGATGCACAGGTATGTGAGTATTTAAATAAAATGGTTTGGCTTCCGGGATACTGAATATATCCCGTTTTGATTCAACTCGCTTCCGTATTCACGTAGTAGAAGTTATGCATTGTCGAATACAGGGAATGTGGAGAGATGATCTTTTTACCTTGGGTATCGCAGCGACGCAGAAACGAGGCCCCCAAGTCATTTGAGCGTGGAGTAGAAGGTGTGACGAATGGAAATAGTTTCAGTTTGTAAGTTGTTTGAGGCTTGCTTATTTTTGAACGAACTTCTATACAAGTTTTTACGCAACGTGCAGGTAAAGCAGTATCACTTAATTGATTTAGTTGTTTAAACGTTGTTTGGATATAATAGAGATCAATTTACTGCACGAAACAAATTCAGATCTTCGAACAAAATCTTATTAACTAGGTAACAAAATTTGCAATCCGTTCCAATTCAAATTCCAGGAGTATATACTAAGATACATTATTTAATATAAGATATAAAATAATACCAAGTTTGGAATAAATATAATGCGAATGTGAAATAAAAAGTTTTAAAATTCCGTAAACTTGACTTAGATGCTATATTCAGTCAATGATCAGTTAACCCCTATATACCCAGTTACACGCGATGATTAATCGAAAGTACGGTACCTGACGGACAAAATGGGTGAATGCAAACAACAATCACTTGGGCGAGTGAGTACACGTTTAACTACGTCCTTTGTTAAACCAAAACGCTTCCAAAAACGTACTCAGAGCAAATAAAAAACCACCAAGCAATGCCGTAAGGTTGGGGAGAAACTGTGAAATCAATCAATTCACTGTAGAAAATGTCCTTTTTGAAATGTTTCCAATTATATAGCGTTGCTAAGTTGTGCTGTATTTCACCGTTTAACTTACAGTTGCTGATGGCACTTCACTACTTTAAGTTTTAGAGTTAGATCGCGAAAAGCAAACAAATAGTACGTATACGTAGAGACCAGTAATGTAAATAATCTTTACAAGTTCGAATAAGAAGTGTAAGGTGTAGTAAATAGGAATAGGAAATTTCTGTGTAATGTAAGGAACGAGGCCTGGAGGAAACCGCAAGACTTATCATCGTTTGAGGATAACCTTTAGTTCACAGGGAAATTGGATTTGGGAGACTGCGACTCGCTGATTGATCTGTTAGGTTGTATTTACACAGATTTCTCATAGTTGTTTCGTAGTAGAAAATGTGCCGATTCAGTGTCTGAAACAACTTTCGAATACGTAGTGCTCATAAGTTTAACCAAATTCGCTACGACGAGGTATTATTTTTTTCAAACTGTTGATTGGATGTTTTATTACTCTGGTATACATGACAACAGCTAGAAAGAATTTCATATATATCGTGTCTAATTGACCCACCTGCTCGCGAGAGATTGTAAAATATTTGTGCATGTTATTCATTGCCTCAGCAACTTTCGAGTGCTACTAAGATTGTTAGTGCGTAACTATTTATAAATTTAGCAAACATGTATATTATTGAGAACTGTTGTTAAAACAAAAATTTCTGCAATATTAGATTTGATACTTCACAACGAGTCCAGACAGTAGAAACGGTTCGATTCAAGGATGGGCCTCTTCGAGGTACACGAAAAATATTCCTCACAGTCCTGGAAATTATGTGTATAGGAATTATATCAGTTTATTTTACTCAAACAGGATGTTTATCACGTAGTCAATACAATTACCGAATTGTTGTTTTTACATTGATTCCACCCATTCATTGTTGTCGAAGCCGTTTAATATTATTCACAATGAGGACTATATTTTTACTACGATCGAGACAAAGAACTAAATGTATCGGATTCGCATTCATTTGCTTCATTGTTTACGTTTACATGTTTCTTTGGACTAGTCAGGTAATTTGAAATTCTAATTTTTATCACGGGGTAAATTACTCCGAATAAAAAGGCGGATCTCGTTGATGGATCACTATTTTATTGCCATTTATATCATACGTGACCATGACTAAGTATTTTATTTTTAGTTTTTTTAGCAACACGGGTAACATATAATATATCAATGGCAGCTAAGTCTACAAGTATCATTAATTCAGCAGTATAATACGAATTGTCAGCGATCTCTATCAAGACTGTTAGAATCATCGACTAGATACTTGTGGATGAAGGTGTTGTATAATGGACTTGATTGTATACGGTGCTTTCCTTAGGACGACATACTCATGCTTAATAACCAATCGATATAGTCGATTTTAAGTACTTCAATAGGCTGGTGAAAGCCTTTTAAAACCGCGATGTTGTGATTCCAGTAGAACTCGATATATGGTGAAAATTAGTGCGTTACTAAGATATGTAAGGATCTTTGTTCTGGGGCAGTGGTTCTCAACCTTTTATTGGCTATAGTGGCCCCCTTCCGGCGCCTTTTTGAACTCATGGTCCCCCTGTTCGCCATTCCAAAAACTGAACGTGTTGATTTGTATTACGTTTTTACTTTTCAAAGAATGCAAAAGCAAACCATAGACAAGAAAGTAAAAGCTGTTCAGTATACAATCAATGGCAATCTTGTGCTGGTACTGACCGAATAGGTTCCTTATATTAGGCACTGTCTTGGCCAATGTTGCTTTCTTGTCAATCTAACTCGCTTGGCAGCCAAGAAACCGATGTTAACGTCTCTCACTTGGGGATAATTTTTGTCACGTTGATTTGATCACATTCTCTGTCATTTTGATTTATTTGATAAAACAAAAGCCAACGTATCTGTCGTTCCATTTTCGTATTTTGGGCATTAGGAATTTACAAATGGGATTTGCGTCTGTCTATAATACGATAGAGAAGGTTATCTCGCAGTCGTTCGGAACTGCCCCTCTACAGGTTAGACGGCCTATCGGCGAACTATTTTGATTGAAAGAATCCAAATTCCATCATGATCAAACGATTCACGCACAAGGAAGTGAATACACCCTGCGGTCGCAAATAACTTATTCAGGCAATGAACGCCTAAACCAGGAATTTTATTTTGAAGTTGCTTCATGATCAATTCCTAGACTCGTGTCGTGGCCCCCTTGACATGCTTCGTAGCCCCCTTAGAGGGCCATCGGCCCTCGGTTGAGAACCACTGTTCTAGGGGATTAAAACTACAATTATTAGGATATCTTGTCAAAAGGTAACAATTTGAAATTTAAAAAAGCAAGCTTTGATTTACAGTGTTTAACTTATAATTTCTATAACCCAATGTAGGGTTTAATCGAGTAAACATTTAAGTAGAGTAAACATGGAATATTTCCCAAAATATTTTCACAAATATTTAAAGCACCCTCCAATGCTTTTTGGCCTCTAATTTTATTTTCTATGAAATCCACTGACGTTACCCAGTAACCGTGTTTGAAAATGTTGGGGTTTGCTGCGTTCCGCAATTTTCGCTCCTAAATAGTGAAAGCTGCACTGCTTAGTTAGATTTCGTTAATTACCAATTTCGGTATTTGAAATCTTTTCCCTAACTACTGTTATCATTAAACTTGAAAAGATTTATACGTACATAGTAATTGATGTTGTGCTGGTGTACACCATTGATGAAGTGTATTTTGTAACGCAAACATCGAATATAAACCTTTAAGTTTTTTCAATTTTGATGCTTCATCCACAATACACCGTTCTAAGGGAAACTTGACAAATGCAGTAAAATGTATCCAAACTCAAAATATCTAGATTGCTAGACGAGTCTGATTTCTTTACTTCCAGGAACTTCAGCCACAAATATCAGATGTTGAAGCAGTACACAAACAAAATATAATTGACATTTCCGGTAATATAAGATCACCTGTACAAGATCCAGTTTTGAAAGACGAAAACGTCACTTTTCAAGTCCATCCGGAAGATCCAGCCGGATATTTTGTTGGACTTCATCATTCAAATTTCGAAAAAATAGTAAATCCTCCTGGACATAAACCAACTATACTTATATGGCATCCTCCGTTTGGCTCGAAAACAAACTATCTCGCAAACCCAGAAGTATGCGGAGGGGACGTTGATTGCCTTATCACATACGACAGAAATTTGCTCAACGACAGCGGTGCTATCGTTTTTCACTTCGGTGGTGCCAGACGAGAAGCTATGCCGCCTTTCAGGTATATATATGTATCCATCATAGTCGTTATTTTCGAAACTACATTTAGTTTTGTACGTGTTATATGCTCATCTCAATACCAATTTTGTGAAACATTCATGCATTATACAGAAAATGTGAGATTTTATATTTATCTGGACGAGACGAAACGTTTTACGATGACAATATGATATTGTGAACTGCGGTATATCTTCGAATTCTGGGTTCAGACTGAGTGTGTTGGAAAAGCTGAGTTAAAGTTCAGAGGGTGCGAACTATAGAATTGTAGTCAGGCCATCAAAAAATGAATAACAATGCGTATTTTTCTACTTCCTTCACCCTTTTATATATTGCAGAACGCTTTATTCCTCCACGCTATCCACAAAAACTCTGTTTAGTATTGTTAATCAATGGATTATTAGCATGAGATCCCTGCAATTTGCACTTGGATCTTGTACATTTTGAATACTTTATAATGTGTCCATAAATATGTATTATATAATAATACTGAATACCTAAACAATATTAGTTGAACTACACCAAATGAAAAGTAATATGGGTAATTTCTACCTAGTTGGCAAACGCTGAATTGACAGATCAATAAAATATCCACAGGTATAACGATTCATCCAAGATAAACTTTTCTAAGGGTTTTGGCGCTTCCGCAGTATGTGCACCAAGATGGCGCACAACTCTACCCTAACCTGGTACACACACTACATTCAGGTTGTGCGCCATCTCGGTGCACATAGTACGGCAGTACCCTGTTTCTTAACATCTCGTATCCGACAGCATGGATTTTGGTGTACATTGTATCATCATTATTCGCCATACATTCAAATCACAATCCTACTTTACGTTAACAATCTATACTGATAATTATATTTTGCAGAAAACCAGAACAGCTTTACTTATGGTGGACTGGAGAAAAGAATCATGGGTCTCAGTTAACAGAATTTGACAATTTTTTCAATCTAACATTTACATATCGATCTGATTCTGGAATATACGCTCCTTATGGAAGCACTAATCTTATTTTACAAGAACTACGTGAAGCGAACGATTTAGATCTCGAAGCTTTACTGGAAAAGAAAAGAAAAAGTGGGAAGATCGCAGCCTGGGCGGTAATATTTCATTATAATTATTTTTTTTATGTATGAATGAATCAAAGTTTTTATCGCCAACAAATCCTTGTAGCCCACCCGATGTCTTCGACATGTAATGCTGCCATTGATGTTTTAATTCCTTGTGTTCTAGTGTAGAAGCGCAGCTTCAGGGCGTTCGACGCTTGGAATATATGGACACGAAAGTTCAATGACTGAGCGCGGTTCCAGGGTAGTTCATGTGTCTCAAACTAAAATCCGTTATCTGGTCATTTAAAAGCTCCAAATCACAGTTGCAACTCAATAAGGCCGTATTTAGGCAGTGGACACTGCAGTACTGGTAGTATATCCACAGGTTCTCAAAGTGCTACGTACTCTATTGCGAGTTCGGGGACTAGCTAAGTGACTCCCGTAGTGTTTGTACCTGAAATTATGGCCTAACCCTAACCTGGTACACATACTACGTTTCGGTGTCTGCCATCTTGGTTCACGTACTACGGGAGTACCCAAACACCCACATCCCATGAAAACAATAACAGTATAAACATCGATAGGAACGTATTTATCTTCGCCGAGTTTGGCTGTCCAAGCGAAAATACAGTAAAAATATTAGATACTGTAGATTTATAAATGCTCCAAATTAAACAATATTCATAAAAAATTGATCGAGTTTTTTTTTATAATTCATAATTAATTTGGAGGGACCTATTATAATACCAAAGCTGAACTGTGTGTCTTTGTTATCTCCAGGTAAGCAATTGCGGAGTACATCGCAGAATGGATCTAGCCAAAAGTATTATGAATAAAGGTTTACAGGTAGACACTTTCGGTCGATGTTTTGGAGGTCGTCAAATAGGCGCAGGTACATATTCAGCGTCATTTTACGAAGCGCTTTCTAGCTACAAATTTTATTTTTCATTCGAAAATGGATATCACTGCAAAGATTATATGACTGAGAAGTTTTGGTTCAACGGCCTTCGGTCTGGTGCGGTTCCTATTGTGCACGGTGCTAAAAAGGAAGACGTTGCCGCGGTCGCACCAAAAAATTCTTTTATCCATGTAGAAGACTTTGATAATGTGGATGAACTTGTAAAATATCTTCAATATTTATCAAATAATGAAACGGCATACAGAAGACATTTAGAATGGAGAACGTGGGTAGCACATCCTGAGCTAATGGAAGAGCGTTTAAAACCTCACAACAGAGACAATGATTTACGCAGTTTTTGTAAGTTGTGTAGGATTTTGCAAGAGGAGGAAGAAGCAGACAGGCAGGGTAAGAAAAGGAGGCAAATGATTGTTCCTTCAATGAACGAATATTGGTGGAAAATGGAAAACCCAGAATGTTTGAATGGATGAGAGTTGGTTAATAATGCTCAGTGGAAAATCGTTCACAAAAATACCTCCATAATCATTTTTATGAGGCTGATAATGTTTGATAAAAAGATGGGTGATTTCTTATTCAATATACATGCAAAATTCAAATTTATTTTATTTTCCAGAATAACTTTTCATGGCATCGAGCCATGCATGTATTTAGTTGCCATCTGCGTATATTTTTTAAACTTATTAAAATGGCGGAAAAGTTGGTGTTCTTTTGTGTTGTATTTGAGCGACGGCGGATGAAATTTCTATTTTTTATATTGTGTTCGTAATTTCGAATTTCTTTTGCCTTTTTCTTCAAAGCATTATGTCACCTGTCCATTTCTAAAATGACCAAAACTACTGTTCCATAATCATTGCCACTCGGTCAATTAAAAACAAGTAGGGGTTCTTTGCTTACTACTTGCCTTGAAGTCGACGAATTTTACCTTAAAGGCATGGGTGATAGAAAAAATAACTCAATTATCCATTACAGTTTTATTGAATTAAATAGTGTTTGCGACGATGAGTCGATGGGCCAACTCTTAATCGACTGACTTCGTATTTAAACAATTTATCTGCTCAATAATTTTACTTCATGGAATATTTCAAATGGTTTTGTTATTGTTATGCAATGCGATAATGTATGAAAGCTCATTCAGCGTATGCAACTCGTGCCAAGCAAACAAGTATATACCAAGAGCGAATGATATTATATATTTGTATTAAAATTCAATAATTTATTTTTTGTGCTGAAACATTGATTTCGTGATATGACTGGTCACTCACTTATCGTTGTATCAAGTGTATTTGAGATCGGAAAGCAGTCAGTTTATGAAAGCAGTGAGAGTTTATGAAAATAGCAGATAGCATATTAACAATTTATATATGCGTCTTTAAATACTGTAAAACGTAAGATTCTTTGGGTCACTTTTATCATCCACCTACAACAGTTGATGAATTTTTTTCACCAAAATGTGAATGTACAGATTATGACAGTTACATAGTTATGCCAACATTTCCTTCTATATCACTGCAATGATTGAAACCAAGTTCAGTCACATAAAATTGCGCAATTGGGTAATTCAACGCATATATATATATTCATGGAATATTTCGAGAATTTGTTCATTTTCATTTGTTTATTTCATTAAAATTTAGCAAAAGAATGAAAGTCAAAATGAGGTCATGTGCAACATTGCCTTTCGAGTTTCCCTCTATTATATTTTTCTCGGGAAACTCCATTTGACAAAAGACCTCGTAATACAACGAAAAAAAACGCTGATTGTTGCAAGAAATTTGCAGCCGATGACTCGGCAAAGCGCAGACATATAAAACTTTCATCATCCCTACATATCGTTTGGTAATAATTAACCATTGCATAACAATGTGTCACATGAGGTCCCATCCAATAACATGGCGTGCTTGGAAAACAATTTCACGCCATTACCAAATATACTGCCACTAAAAACTAGTAATATTGCTATTGGACAAGCACATATTACACATAGGATACGCGGCAGTATAAAAACTATTGGTGGGAAGGTGATGGGTAGGTAAATACAGGCATTGCATTGTACGTGGATATATAGCTATTAAGAAATGAGAATTAATTGAGTGGCAATAATCAGTTTGTTCAACCCAGTCGCATTGGTTCGGATAGTAAATAAAACCGTGCTTTCTTTCTTTGTTCAGCGCATTGAATACATACATGTCAGTAACCACGAGAATACTTAAACCAGATAGCATCAGAATAAAAAAGATATCTTCGTAATATATATATATACGAAGTCTAGAGTGGGGGTTAAGCTATAAACTGGATAGGTGCGAATGTAGAAGAAGTGAGCAAGACATGCGCGTAGCCAGCCTCCCAATTTTTTTTGGAGGAGGGTGGGGGCAAATTTTGCTTTCTATAATGACGTATTACGACGCTTAATTGTGCCTTTTGCCCCGAACAAAGCCAGGTAAAAGTAGCCACTGATATCCAATATCTCAAAGAATTGCTCTTCAAACGTAGGCTACTTCGCTGTTGAAGTAATCCAAGTCTTATTTATAAGCGCGCATTTTCATCTATTGAGTTTGGTTCATTTGGTGGAAGGATTATTGTTATCAAGACAGGAAACGTCCGCTTTTCTGTAAATCGTTCAAGAACATAGCAAAATTGCATGTAAAAAAATGTTTCAAATTTTTAGGACCCTCGTGGCTACGCCTATTGAGCAAGATAGAATACGCACTAGCGATTTTCGATATCAACGCGTCGATAAGCTCTTAGAATCTATTTAATTTAATACCTACTTATTCGAATCGGCTCGGACTTGCTTTTAAAATTGCGCTATAGTTTTTTTCTTCTCGCATTCATAGATCTGGCTCATTTTCGATGGATTCCATTCCAAAAAACAACAACGAAAGTTCAAAAAAATGATCGTAACGGCTATGTAATATTATTACAATGATTTTACAAATGTATGAATAAAATAACAGTGGATCTTTTACACTGCTCAATTTACTGCGGGTGTACCTAATATTTTTTACATTTCCAAACGGATCTAGCTTTGGTTTTGTCAATGTATATATATAACAATTGCTGTGTGTCATTACTCGTGGAATCAAAATTGGGCATTTTTTGAGGTAGTAAAACTGTTAGTTGCCATTTTCGTACTCAAGTTGACCCGAGTTTTCATATATATCCAATAACTATATAATAATTAAATTTAGTATTGTTCAATATCGTTGTGAAGGCGGTGCTACAACCTTCCTGAAGGCCGAACACTCCTTAACTCGAAGGCTCTCAAGCAATGAACTTGCCAGATAAAAATGTTTGGTTTATATGTAGATGGAGTTCATAGCTTCATAATCAGCGTTGCTCAATCATTGTTAAATCATATACTGACACAATTTTATTTCGCAGATTATTAAGTCATATATACAACGTATATCATGTCAAAAATCACATCTGACAATACTCAGTTTGATCACGCGAATGCTGCCTTTTCTTCAGAAGAAAAAAACATTTCTTTGCCAGGAGGACCCGAATCGGGATATACAGGTTTAAAACCATTTTTATACAAGTTACTTAGAAGAAAGCGTTGAATATTATACTCCAGTCGCCAAAAATGGAGCAATTAGATTCTCGTGTTCCACATGATATGACATACTGTTAAATAACCCAAAACTCGAAAAAAATATCGTGGCGTTTTATAAACTTCAAATTTATGTTAATTGACTGCTGGCATTGTAAACAACCGCGATATTCTGTAGAGTAGTAGAGGACACACTCTCTGATGAAGTGAACCCACATGAAAACTGCATAAGTGTTCGTGCAAGAAAACGAAATGGTAATATTGGACCATTGGTAAAAACCCAGTCTTTTATATTTCATGAAAGCAATATAACCAATTCAGGCTCGGAGATTAGTAAACAACACTCATATATATCTCAGTCACACGAAAGACTTGTTATGAGTGTCACAAAAAATAAATGAAAAAATCTTTGCGGAAAATGCTTACAAAGCATATAACACGAATCAATTAACAATGAACAACGACGAACATAACACGGATGACAATGTCGACGACATCAGCAATCACGCCCCCGGTACACCCCAACGTTTAGCGTATCGCTGAGCTTTCGCCCGCGGCTCGACTGTTGATTTCGTCGCATGTTACTGATAAAATTCATAACGGAATCACATTGGCGACACGACGTCGGCAGTAGTTATTTAATTTTCGTCGTTAGTATCTATGCGTTGATTTGCAAAAATCAGTGAGCGGTCAAGTAGCATTGCATAAAGCGATTTTCTATTCAGATCTTAGGAAGGCGAGCAAGAGTTCCATAAAGGAAATGCCCCAGATGCATAAAAAGAGAGGACTGAGAATACAGAACAAACTATTAAGAGAATGTATGGCCGAATGTTTGGGAACCTTCATTCTTATGGTAAGAGATCGTGTGGGTGTCCAACGTTGAGATTTATTGCTCGTGTTTGTGCCCAACCGGAAATTCAAGTCATTTTATTATTTACTGAAGCGTAAATTGTAATCCAGTGGAATAAAAGTTTTTCAATGACCAACAACTTTGGTCTGTCGCATGCATCACTGTTTGATAGTTGTCAAAGAAATGGGATGCAAATAAGAAGGAATTTGCCGTGCCTTAACAAGGCTTGGTTGATGCATTGGTTATTATTGTGTGGGTGCAGTCAAGCTTCATTGATTCAAGAATTGAATGTTTGTAGTATCAATAGTATCATGAAACAATGACTTTCGAAATAACCCCGTTATAAATGTTGCAAGTAGTCACTTATTGTATTACCATTTTGATATTAGCCTACATTGACGTAAGCCAAGGTTTCGGTTAGTTTAAATATGCGAACGTGAGAAAAAGGTTATGGAAATATTTCATATCATATTCTTAAAATATATTATTTTCTGTCAGATTTTTGGCAACGGTTCCGTTGCGCAAACGGTCCTGAGTAAAGGTGGTGATGGAAATTATTTAACAATATACTGGGGATATGGAATAGGTGTTGCAATGGGAGTTTACGTTGCTGGTGGCGTTTCAGGTATTTACGCCCATATATTCCTAATAAAGTAATAAAAATGGAAAGTTATTCAGATTATTTGCACGGTTCGTTTGGATAAAACATCGCAACAACCGTTACATAAACGTATATGATTCGACAGCATATTTTATAGATAACGATAATTAGGCTACATATACCTAAACTAAATAATAATTAACTAAGTTAACTAGAAGTGCCTATGCATACAAAATCACGGATCACTGACACTCCATTGTTTTAGAACTGTTAATTTCATTTCATTCAGTTAGACATCGGGCATTCGGGAATATCAAATTCTTTTGCATCCAGGTGCCCACTTGAATCCAGCTGTAAGTTTGGCAATGAGTGTCGTTGGTCGTTTGGAATGGAAAAAACTGCCATTGTATGTGTTATGGCAAGTTATTGGGGCGTTTTTGTCAGCACCGGTTGTGTATGGAATTTACTACGGTACGATTAAGTTTACAACTTTCATCGGGTAACAAAAATTACATTGTTTGCTTACATCGTTCACTAAATGTGCACGTACCGAAATGTCTTGTCAAGGTAAACATATCTCATTGTCAAACCCAAATTTTGTGAATTTAATTTACATGAAATTATCAGTCTTCAGCTATATAAAATATTATATATTACAAACATGTATTCGGCTTCAATGTATGCTTAGCAATAACACGGCTCTTTATCGATGAAATGTTACATTTTTAGGCTTTTTTGATTTTCCTTATATCGTGTCTCTCCTAAATATATATATACAGCATTTTATAATTATCAAATTTTAGACGCTCTTGAGGCTTTCGACGGGGGTGAAAGACAGGTTTTTGGACCGAATGCAACTGCATCAATATTTGCTACTTATCCGAAAGAATATCTTTCTTTGGTCAACGGAGTGTTTGATCAGGTAATTGAAAAAAAATATAACATTTTTTTTGAATCTGTATACATATCTGATTACCTTTTATCATTTCCGATACAAGTTTGGTGATTTTCTTGTTTTCCACAAATGTTTTTTATTTTTAATCATTATATTTAAAAGTGTTTACATTTATTAACGTTTTTTGTTTCTCAGTCTTCTGTTATCTCGAGAATAATAATAGTGCTCCCAAAAGTCTCAGAGGCACCTACTTGTAGGCTACTAAGTTGTTATACTCGCCAACCTTAATGTTACATAATTAAACTAGGTTTTTTGATATCTGTAGGTATTTATATTATCCTGACCAATACACGATGGTAATTGATTGATTCGCCTGCATGTTTCTTCAACGCGGGGTCATGAAGCCCTCGATTAAAAATGGAAACATTACGTAAAAAAGAGCACGAACATACAGCGTTATTGTTTCGATATCCAAACTTCACTCGTCAGCTCTGGGTAGGCTTACCATACGTCCCGCTTTAGGCAGGACAGTCCCGCTTTTTAGCGTCTTGTCCCGCCGTCCCGACAAGTCAGCCAAAAGTCCCGCTTTGGCATTCCAGCCATCCAGCATAATACACGAACATGTTCTCGTTACTGTTGTTGCTGTGTAGCGCAACGCTAGCCTACTTACTGAAGGTGAATGCGTTATTTTGTTTGTTTGTTGTTGTTGTTAACATCCTTCGTCGTTCTGTGTTTGAAGACCCAGGAACACGGCAGCTTCGACCGGATTCTCCCACAGGTCCCTTGTGGTTAGATGTGTTGGTTTGGCTGAACATATAAATAGATGTGGGACGTCATGCGGGCCGGTTCCGCACTCGGGGCAGATATCCCTTATTGCTGGATCAACGCGTGTCATGTAGTGGTTTGTTTGGCGACTCCACCCAGAGCGTAGCTGAGAGAGCGATTTTGTTTGTTTCGTTCTCGCTAACGTTGTTACCGAACGTATCACATGTAAAATCATTTATAATTGGTCCTGTTCGGACGTTCACGTGAATGTAATAATGAACAACGTCTTTTTGAAGGTGTTATCTACAGAAAAGCATGCTTGGGCGAATAATTAAATTCTCAATGCTTGAAAACGGCAGACTATTTCATTGTTCTTTATTCCTTTTGCTGCACATAAAAAAATCTAAATTCGGATCATTTGTGTCGTTAGCGTCTATTCCTTTATTTTTCGAACTGAACCCGATATTCAGACAGAGTATGTGTGCATGAACTCTCGATGACAATATGGTCAATGGAGACAGTCGGGATGGCTTTAAATATGGGCCTATGTATATAGTAAAAACGGAAACTGTAATGTTACAGGATCGCAGCTAAGGGGTCGTGTCTTTGGAGGTGTCCCGCTTTGAGGTCAAAAAAATACGGTAACCTTAGCTCTGGGTTTCATTTGGGCTTACAGTAGTCAAACCAGCATGTAAATAGAAAATGGCTGCCATTTTGCAAATTTGTTATTATTGTTGTATTTTCAGATATTTGGAACCGCTGTACTTCTGTGCGGTGTATTTGCCATAACAGATAACAGGAACAACAAACCACCGTCAGGAATGGAACCTTTGCTAGTTGGACTACTTGTTTTTGCATTAGGTTTGAATTTTATTGGTGTTGACTTCACATATTCAATTCAATTCTTGGAAATGAACCTTTATTGCTAAAATAACTCTTGTCCTTTGTTATATATGTGCTAACGATGGGTATCACACTCATATTCACACTAGAGTGTTGGCAGTTTTATTTGGTTTATGGATGTATTATGTACAAATATTGTTTTAATTTAGGATGAGATATTAAATTAGGACATACCAAAAATCGACACTTCAACAACTATTAGTAATTGTGTTCTTGCTTTAAACAGGCAATTCATATGGTACTAACTGCGGCTATGCTATAAACCCCGCTCGTGATTTTGGACCAAGACTGTTTACAGCTATGGCTGGTTGGGGAGGCGATGTTTTTACGTAAGTAGATATTAAGTAAACCTTAAAATACATTTATACTGAGAGGTGAACACGTATTTCAATGTGGTGACTTGTGCAACCAAGAGGGGGCAGTTGCTACATAAAATAGATTTATACTGTTACGACGTGTTTCTTTATAATGAGAAAAACATCAACCATATGGTTAGAAAATCGTAACCTTTGCGATTGCGTGAACAGTGAACACTACCGAAACTAACCCATACTAGTCAAATAAATACGGAGTTTCAAATGACAAGTAAGTCAAAAACATTTCAGAAACTTGGCTTGTGTAATAAGACAGGCTCTATAATAGGATTCAAGGCAAAGGACCCTTTGATGAAATAATGATGACAATTAAATTAAAATCAGTCACACGTATTCAATCATAAGTCGAAGTTGTTTCAAGGCGCTTCCGTAATGCTTTTCTGGGCCTAAAATAAACATGCTGCATATATATTGCTATATATATATATATATATATATATATATATACATGTGAATGATAGTAATTGCAATGAAAAATCAAGAAGTTGTGCAATCTTGCACTTAAAATTCTCCTGATGGCACCTTGCATTCTGTCGCTCATGAAGCGAAGTGCACTCGTTTTCGTCTCAAACAACATTACAAGAACGTTTTTATGCAAAACATTTCTATTAAGCCCATATGGATGGTTTAGTTGTTATATACAACAATTTTCACTATTCACTAACAATATTATGTTTTATTTTCAATTTCAAGGGCGCCAAAAGGGCAAAATTGGAGTTGGTGGTGGGTTCCCATACTTGGGCCGTTGATGGGCGGCGTTTTAGGAGCGTTTGTTTATTTATTCGTTGTTGGACTTCACTGGCCGCCACCAGAAACGCCATTGTCCGAAAAAAAAGAAGCCAATAGTACGGAAATAGTCACACATTCACCTCGAAATCCTAGCGCAGAATTTTCCAATCACGAGGAAAGTTCCTTAATTGTGCAAGCTCAAAAATTATAAATTATCGTGGTATTATTTTACAGTCGTTTGAGGTATTACAGAAGGTGTGTGAGAAAATAATAATTTCTCAAATAGGCACAAACCTAACTGGGATGACACTGAAAATTGAAATACTTGAGCTACAAAGTAATTCAGTAAAAACTGTTAATATGCACTTTTCTTGTGGTTGTGTTGTGTTCATGTATTTTCATTATATTATTTTGTATTATATCATATACATTGATTTAAACCACTCTTTCATGCTATGTGTTATTATAGTTTTGTCAAGTATTTCATTCGCCTACGTTTAGCTTTTTAAATCATACCGACCACCCATTGACGCTGGAAAAAATGAATCGTCTTTGGGGGTAGACAAACAGCCTCGTCTTTCGTCAGACATAAATATAAAAATCCTATTCGGAATTATGCGCATGTGAATGAATACTCACAATCTTCAAAAACGTCAAATTTCGCTAATCGCATTTTTAAAATTATGTATAATGCAATCTAATAAAAAACGTACCTTTAGGAAGAATAAATTACTTCAATTGATTCCGATGTTTATTGGAATTCAACAAAGATTGAAAGTGGGAATGGAATGGTTTGAAGTATCGAGCTTGCCGGAATGTAAAAGCCATGTATAAGATTATATATGTGTGCTAAGATAGCCTACATATATTCAGCTTTATATGGTTTAGGTATCCCGCCAGTTGCAATAACTTTTTGCATATAATTAAAAAAGTGTCCCGCAAATTTCAATAAATCTTAATTTTTCATGAGGAACAAAAAGTTCGAACAGCATAAAAACTAGTATTTTCATGACTATGGACTGAAGAGAAACAAAAATAGAGACTCACAGCATCCAGGGTTTGGTTAAGCATGAATAAATCAATAGTTTAAAAAATACATTCCGTATCTGGAAGTACGCCAATGTTTTCTGCTGTTACGACGACTTTATATATTAAAAAATAATTGAATCTCCAATTAGCTTTTTCGACAAATCACTGATTTTAAGTGAACAGAGAACTTGTCACCTTTACCTTATGATGAAATGAATCTGATCAATAATCTTCCGATGATTCTTATTATCGTAGTCGAAATGAGGGTGTCTCAAAAATGTCGTGACCCACTTGTCCCACGTGTCCCATCTGTACCTTGCAATTCAGTAAAGCGTATTTCCTTCCCTCCATTCCTGACTCAATAACTTTAATTATACAAATCACAGCGCATTGAAAAGCAAATTAGTATTTATTAACATTTATTTACAACGAGTTACGGGTAAGAATTATCATATTTTTCAGATTCAAATTTTGATAAAGCGCGACAACAACGTTTTTGTAAATTTAGAATTGTCGAACCAGATAAGTACGACTGGTAAATTTTGTATTCTATGAAAATTTTTCCAAGATATTGGGGACGGGGAGAAATATTATGTTGACCACGTAGAAATGCCATTATTGCCGATTCATTCAAGTGTTTAGTATCAGTGTTTTATTCCAAAGCTGAGTTACGTGAATTCTCAACACCCAGTATTCAAGAGATTACCAATTTGTGGAGTTTTCAATTAATATTATTTAATACGAAAGTAACACAGACACGATATAAAATTAAAAGCATAAAAAAGTCAACTATCAGCTTCACAAATATCGCATTCCGGGGTCAGTAATACTGTTCGCTTAAAATCGGGACCTTAATTTACAAACTGTGAAACAAATCCTACAAAAAAGATAAAAAGCAGCATAAAATCAATTTGTGTTGTGAATGCACTAATAGTTAGTTGTCTTTGACATCGTCGCCGATGTGAAATCAAATTTCTGTCCGAAAAATAAAAACCAAACTACGATATCCGCCGTCGCACGGGAATTAATATTTACTGCGGCCTTGGATTATGACAAAATTATGAAATAAATATGTTGCGAAGTTTTCAGTCTTCAAGTAAATTCCGAAAAATAAAATTGATACAGCGATCCAATTACGGTTGTTTGAAATGACACTACTCATTATTCGGTGTTGCGTTCGTTGAAAATATTCGAATAATTCGACTAAAAAAAACTATTTGCCCTATTTGCTCTAATTTTACGGCGCATGTTAATTATCATTGAACGGCAATTAAAAATCAATTTGTTTAACAATAAAATCCAAGTAATAGTTTCACATTCAATGCATTTGATCGGCGCTACATGCGAGCGTGTTTTTGTACTTATAAACGATTTTGACGCTTCTGACATCCGCGAGTTATACTTCTTCCCAAAATTAATTTTCTCGATTTCTAATGTTCTATTTTTAAATGCGGGTACTGCTGACTACGGATTAATGGTCTATATTTGAAATAGGACTTGCAAAATATTCACCATAAACCGCCAGGCAAATAGAGGCGGGCTACACGTAACTGTGGAATTTCGATGTGAACGACGCATTGTTTTCAGTTTATTAAACGTCGTCGTCGTGAATTGCACTGCAAGAGTGCTTTGTTTCAATTTCACCAAAATTTTTGACTGCGCCCATGTCAACCCGGCTATATTCCGGCACTGATAAACTATGTCATAATTTGTCACCTATGTCATCAAATTAATATTTGGATCGGACGACGAGATTGCGAAACGAAACAGCAGCAAAATTCTCACTAGAATTATTGTGTTTATACATTATTTGGCATGTACATATTTTTTATGTGCTATGTTTCATGCGTTCCTTTCTTACGCATAATGAATGCCCAGTACTGCATTTTATTACGAAAATGTGGTATTACATTATGTTTCACCCATTTCAATTTTTGGCCGGCACATTATTTTATAGTTTTTCTTCGTGTGAAATGTTTTTGAGTGTGCCTTTTTTTGTCTAGAAGCATATTGAGTTCCCGACATTGCATTACATTGTCTGTTCCGGTCATTTCAATTTTTTGTCGGTCCGCGAGTACATTTAATTTTACCGGTCCGCCAGGATAGAAAGGTGGGGAACCACTGTCCTATATATATATTAGGCCGAGAGCCGAGGCCATTTATCTTTCAGTTTCGTAGCGCACATAAGGTAACTACCTGAAAATGATTTTAAAATGTTCCTTAGAAATTTAGTAACAAATATTGTCTTGTTCCCCCACTTCCAAAAGTTGCACGTTTTACAGAAAAGACGCTTTTACTGCAATAAATATGTGTTACCATCTGTCCTATTTTCTCTGCTTTTCCATTATCATGGGCCAATGAACGCAGACTTCTGCATGACGTAACAATCAAATTAGTCAGCTCGGATGAATATCAGATGTACTACTGCTCGCTTTTGCGTTGAGTTAGGTAGCCTTTCCATAGTTTTTTTCAGTTATTACTATCGATTTCAATCGGTAGGTATGTTGATAGGTATTTGTCTGTTAGATGCACGCGATATCTCACGAAAGCGAGATTGAATCTGCTCCATATTTTTAATGTGCATTCATTGTATGTCGCACCAGAAGCCTATTGATTTTGGATGAATTATGTCGTATAATTAGCGAATTATTAATTAATTAGTGATGGGACACAAGGTGTCACTATGGAGTAAGAGCGCTGTTTTGGGGGATCCCCTAACTTTCGAACGATAAGTCTTCGGTCTCTAACCGATACTCTCGTTATAAGTTCAGTAATTCTAAGCTAAGGAGGTGTTGAAAAGTATAAGTAAGACATTAAACACTTGGATATCCTTACCATAAATAGCAATTTCAGTTGAGCACCAGCTCATAACACGTTGTTAAATAGGTACGGTTCGGTAACTCCAAGGAAGGCTAGACCTAGAATAATATGTCACAAACAACGAGATTTTCTTACTTGCATGAAATGTTTATGATTAATTTAATGACTCTTCTTGACTATTCAGCATATTTGGAAATTAATGGCTGTTTCTGTAATGCACGGTTGTGTGAAAGAGAAGAAAACGAGAATATCGGTCGGAGACCGAAGACTTATCGATCTTAGATCGGTAATTAGTTAATAACTCGCTAATTAACCCAAAATCTATAGGCTTCTGGTCCGAGGTAAGATGCATGCACATGCAAAATTTGGAGCAGATTCAACCACGCGTTCGTGAGATATCGCGTTCATCTAACAGACACACAGACATACATACACACAGACAGACAAATACCTATCAATATACTTATCGATCTTAACATCGATAAGTAACAACTCCCCACGTAGCCGCCGAAATGCTACTTGAGGAAATACTTTTATGAAGAATTTTGCAAAGCCGAACTGGATCGTTTTGATCAGGTTAACGCCAACTATCCTATATTTTGTGTCAAATAAAACGGCGCTGACCGCAATTGCGACGGCTATTCAACCACAGCCTAGCGATATTTTAGTGAAGAATTAGATTTGGTTTCAGCCAATAGCCTATTTGCCACCGGTAATGGCGAACGTCGATTATCCTATAGTTTGTGTCAAACGCAAAGATAGTATACGACGGATGATTCCGATTGTATCCGAATTAGCTTTATACAACGCTTCCAGATCACTGATGTCGAAGCGGCGTGTAACCAAAATACCTAACCAAACGCTCAGCATCGCAGACAGAGAAGTGTTGCGCACACACACACAATCGCACGAAAAAGGGGATCCCCCAAAACAGAAACTGCGGTTTCGATCGCATCGCAGAGAGGGCATTGTAATTCTCTCTGAACCTCTAGCAACACCGCGTGTTCCATCACTAATTAATTAATAACTCGCTAATTATACGACATAATTCATCCAAAATCAATAGGCTTTTGGTCAGAGATATGATGAATGCACATGCAAAATTTGGGGCAAGCTCGCCGTCGTGAGATATCGCGTTCATCTAACAGACAAACAGACAGACAGACAAACAGACAAATACCTATCAACATACTTACCGATCTTAAGATCGATAAGTAATAATCAATTTTACTAAAGTCGGTTGGTCTAATCTAAATTAATAGAGTCGACAAGAACCTGGGAAGCAATAATAAGTTATGCCGGAGTGGGAAAAAAGTAGCATTGGAAGCGATTGAGATGTGAGAAATCAAGTTGTAGACAGACAGTTGATGTTTTAAAATATAGTCTATAGTCCATACTCATTGGGCATTTCAGACTGTGATATATCAAAATTGAGTGTAGATATAGTCTAGTACTGGTATGCAAACACTGCTGGGCTGTAGTACATGCAATGAGCATATATACGCTCATTGAGTACATCAGATAAAATGCGTTATGTATTCAAGGTATTAGTTAGTATTTAGTGTTATTTTTACACTCATGCTGTTCCAAATATGATTTTCTTCCTCGTTTTAGATACTGTACTACAAAAGAAAACGGCAATGTTCCACCAATCCGACCTAACGCAGGCTCTAATCCCTGCTGCTATCAGTGCTCTAAAATGGATTAAACAAGAGGTCTTGAAGCGTAAAGGTATATGAGAATCATAATAGTTGCAAACAGCTTAGAGGGGTTTTCATATTGAAATACTTTAGCACTATTCTGCAATTGGACTGCCCATCAAACTCATGTTGGAGACTTCATTGAGGTTTTCAGTTCATTTTTTTCTCAACTATGAAGATCTTTTGAGGTTAACGAGGCATTAATAAATAAAGCTGAGGAATTCGTTTGTTCACTGTATGAAGAGGATATGAAGAATGTAAATGATACCAGGGCATGTCCATTTAACACTGGCAAACATAAGAATTATACTTTTCACCCAACAATGATTCACTGAAGAAGCATGTGACCCTCAAATCAGTTATTGAGTTGGCAAACTGCAAGTGTAAGAAAAATAGTCGAAATAATTTATGCAAGTGTGCCAAAATCAACTTAAATTGCACAAATCTTTGTTTTTGTATTGACTGCAAAAACCACAGTACACTTATAGAGGAAAGGTCGATTTTTAAAATAGTGGATTTCGAAAACAATTCAGAAGAAAGTGAATTAGATATTGCAGTTGATTCAACGAGTATCATGTATTTGTTTTTTTTCGGACATTTGTTAGTGTCGTAGTCCTGTTTCTAGAAATAATATTGCCTTTGTTCAAATACTTAACCACATAAACTAAAAAAAGACTAATTGTAATATTTCTATTCACTATGTACATACTTTACATTCATTTAATTTCTTGATATTTCCGGTAAATTTCTAAGTGAGAAATAACTGATTTATTTGTGTTTTCGTGCTCACGATGTTAATTTGTGACTTCATTGCTTAAAAATAAATACGTTTGATAGCTTCTATAAAATGGATGTAGATTTTTATGCTGTTCTTGTTGTAAACTGCTTGTGGTTATTACATAAAATTTATTCGCTAATGTAAATCAGCGTTGTTGGTGTCGCTGCTTGAAGACCTTTCGAGGTCACTCGCGACTCCTGTCACACAATTAAAGTATTGTTTGTTGTTGGTTGCATGTATGCCATATTTTTCGTAATCTACCTAATAAATTATGATTTACTGAGAAAGTCTGATTTTGGTCAGGCAAAAAGTTACAGGAATACATTTGTGTTAGTGTGCTGTAGGGCTCTCGAATTGCATAGTTCCTATGTATGTGTTGTAAACTTATGGTTATTGAATTTCCGGGAACCTCTTATATTCAATTTCGCATCAGGATTGTGGAACAAGTTGTAATGCGTTCAGTATGTTCATTTTCACACAAAACTGAAGAATTTATTTAGTTACCAGATGTGCGCTACGAAACTGATTTTCTGGGCGTTTTCAAGGCTCCGTCTCACGGCCCATATCTGTGGTAAGGATCTACAAGGGTTTAATAACTTACTTATACTTTTGAACAGCGTCTTATCATAACTTAACTAATAATAACTAAACAGGGCTATGGAAAGGCTGCCCAACTCAACGCAAGATCGAGCAGTAATAACTAAGATTCATCCGCTCGCTAACAGCTGATTCGATTCAATTGTTACGTCATGCATCATAAGGTCATTGCCGGAAATGTAGAAAATATAGGACAGATCGTAGCACATATTTCTTGTAGTGAAAGCATCTTTTCCGTGAAACGTGCAACTTTTGGAAGTGAGAACAAGGCAATATCTGTTACTAATTTTTAAGGAACATTTTAAAATCATTTTCAGGTAGTTACCTGATATGCGCTACGAAACTCACTTTCTAGGCGTTTTTCAGGGCCTCGGCTCGCGGCCTGTATATGACTTTTGAAGTTTGTAAACATGTAGGTCTAAGAGAAATATATTTTATAAATAGAATAACTGAAAAGTAGAATCTATTTTATTTACACCCCAAAAACATTCTGCTGCACAGCGTCTGCGTTCGTGGACGCCCATTTAAAATGGAAGACAAGATGTCATACGAATGGTTATGTAATAATCGCTGTAGCAGCATGATTGCCAGATATGCCACAACGGTGTCTTTTCGTAAACTTCGCTATTACGGTCTTGCCATAATGCGAAAAGTCAAGTTTGTCTATTTCTGATGCACAGACTGATCTATCGAAGTTATGGGGCTTACATTTGCTAAGTTGTTGCGAATACCTCGCATTCACCGGCAACTAATGAACCAATCTACTTGAATTTTCAGTACATACTTGAAAACGCTAGACGGTACTACTGTTACTTTGTTTGTTCAAATTTCCTTCCTATCCTATAGAATCAGTTCCACTACAACATATGCGAACTTAGTGGGCTCCGCTAATAACAGGTGTGAAATATTGAGTTCAGCCATTATAATTTATGATCATGCAGGAGTTAGCTTGTCAATTCTGCACACGCAAGACTGTGAAGTTGGTTGTTTGATATTCTTTTAGCCTCCAGTTGAAAAGCATTAAAATGTAAACTAATTTATGTCATGATAACGACTAGAAAATGCTGGACCATCCCATGCTCTTCATGGGAGTATCCATTTTCTAATAACTATAAACTAAAGCAGGATGCTGGAGGCACAGGGATATGATAGTATGTTTCTACAAAAATGGGTACAATTCAATTTCACAAAAAATTGAGATTCATCATAAAATTTTATTGGCCATGTTAAACGATCTCTCACATCTAATTCATTTTTAATGGTGATAATTTTATAAAATAGACACAGGGTTCTAAATATTTAAAAAATATGATTGAATGATATTTTCAACCATGATAAAGTATAAAAGTTCCAACACCAAAATCAGAGTTAAATCATTTTTTCATACAATGAAAGCTGATCATAATTTTCCCGAACCACATTTGTTAACTCTATATTAATGACTAAAGAATTTTCAAAGTTCCAAGTAAAAGAATTCATAGAAAAGCCGCAGTCATAGACATTAGAAATCATCATAAACTTGTGAATTTTTAAAAACTCGCAAATGTCTGTCAATAATAAATGTGCATTGACTTATAAAAATTCGTCATGAAATGAATACTGCTAGCTGCAGGTCTTATAAAAGCAGAGTCTATCCTGTAGCAGTTCCTTCCATTCTATTTCAAGTCCAATTATCAGTTTGATCATTCTGGCTGTTGCATCCGAATCATAGGAACTCCTCTAGGCGGACCCATCATCATAACAGGCGTCATCATTGGTCGCACTGCCATTGGGGGACCCATCATAGGTCCAGGTCCACCCATCATTGGTCTCATTGGCATCATTCCTGGTCCCATCGGTGGTCCACCCACTACAAAAAGACAGCGAGATATTAAAGAATATTATTATCTTCCAATGAAAACAATGAACGATCACTTACTTGGTCCGTTAGGTCGCATCATTGCTCCTGGAGGTGGAATAGCAGCTCCACCAAATCCTTGAATTTTTCCTTTTTGAAATTCCTTTGCTAAAAATATCAATATCATGTGGTATATTGTATAAATTGGGATATAAAATATACTCCAATAAAACAGTTGAGTTGAATATAAATCAGTCTATTCGATGCCTAATAATAAAGGATATCAAGTTTTATAATCAATCAGACATTAGTAATAAAATAGGGAGTTAATATCGAATTTTTGGATATTACTCAAGTCTATGGCTAGCTCCATTACGTTAATTTCTGAAATGACACATGTTCCAATATTGAATGCTAAAGCCTCAATGTATGAAGTAGATAGATGAATAATATAAAAGAGAGCTTCATTTATCAAGTGATGACACCAACTTTCCGTTTTGCAAAGTCAGTGGTTCTCAACCTTTTACTGACTGCGTACCACTTTACTGTTTTTTACTCTGGCTGCGTACCACCGAAAAAGCCATTTTTTGGCATGGGGAACAATGGCACAAGAAATGCGATATGGGAGTATTTTATAATGTGACACTACATCCTTAGTTAACTAATTCGCAAGACGGACGACAACATGACCAGCCTGATTCGTTCGTGAACAATAGCACGCGAGGGCGATTTCTAAAGACTGGACCAGTCCATAGGACGCTTCCCCGACCCTTGACCCCATAAAAATTCTTCCTATACTTTACTATTGCAAAATTTTTTATACTTATTTTGAGAGTGTTTTTATGTATGGCGCATATAAGCTGGTTTATGTGTTTGAAACCCTCATTTTTATTAAAAGTGATGCCCGGGAAACATTTATAAAGGTCGTTCAGCGAATACATATCGTATGGAAGATAAAGCATATATTTTAGCCAACTTAAAGTTAATAGTTGCAATAATTCAAAACTGCTCGCGTACCACTTGATCATCTTCCTAGTGGTACTAGGAACTACTAGTGGTACGTGTACCACAGGTTGAAAACCACTGTGCTAAGTAGTATGTTAGACAGCTGCATATAGTCCTATTTATTACTGAGATTATGAAAACTGATTTTGTTTGCTAGTTAAAAGTTTGTATCTATTTGTATACAATAACATGATACTATAAATCCTTTACTTGTTTTATCAATCAATGCTTGTGCTTGCTCTTCCATCCATGTTTGATAATAAACCCGAACATTGTCTTTGTGCTTCCTTCCAGAACAATGCGTTTTTCTTACAGATGGCTGATAAAATAAAATTGGCAACAACTTTGAAATTCAGGCTTTGGTGAAATAAAGTATTTGTATAGACTGCACCAGCAAAAATACAAAAGTGAAATACATATGAATGTATAAAATATATATACAATAATGACATGCAACATTACAAGCAAACAGAAAAAAAAATTCATTATCAAAATATGCCATTCCTTTTATGTATAGTTATTGCATTAAATTCTAGTGAATAATTTGGACAGCATAATACAAGTCTGTGTAATAATTTGCCACCGACACAGGACTGATCATGTTAAATAGGTTTTTAGTTCTGAAACTTATAATATTCAAAAATGTACACAAAGCCTTATGTCAACAAAATACACTTATTTAGCATGTAGAATATTCCTTGCACAATTGAGTTCGAAACCAACATATTGTCAATTTCTTATCTCTAATATTCATGAAAGATAACAATCGTTATTGAGATTGATAAATCAAATGAAAAAATTCAACCTCAACTTACCGAATCGTGAGTCAAATATGTGTCACAGTAATCACAATAGTATCTGAAAAATGAAAATGATATGTTCAAATGTTAAGAAAATTGGATTAGTTTACATTGACAAATATGTTCAGTTGATCTGATCAACCAATAAAGCAATAGCTGAATACAGGAATAGAGTCAACAGTGTAATTCATGCTTATTCATCCTAATACGCTATAAATCAGTACAGAAGAAGGCAGGGCCAACTTACAGAGTCATATCATAGCCAACCTAGTACCTGTGTGTGTGGCACATAGCCTAAGTGGGTCTCGCGTCACAGTGATGTAATAAAGCCTGCTAAAATATACGAATGGTCGTTCATAATGGGCACATGATTAACCGAAGTCTAGCAAGTTCTATCTCTCGATTTCTCGTCGTAACGATCCCGAGATGAGATTGATCGCTGGCGTTATTGAGCTCATTATTGTCGGCGCAGATGCCATTTCAAGCGATCGTAGTTATACTTTGACAAGCAATAAGACGTGATTGTGTGGGGGATAGGAACAACACAATGAAAAACTGAAAAATGGTTCTGCCAAACCCACTATTAGTAGCCTACATGTGGTACGAAACTACACGAGACCCCCCTAAGTTACACCTAAAATATATTACAGTATTACGATTTGTAATGCATTAACTAGCGCACAATACTGCAATAACACCTACAGACCTAACAGACACTCATTGAAACATGCAAAAACTGAAACGGGTATCAGTACCGGGTCTAGTATAGTTTAGAACCACAAGTACTTCCAGTGGGCGTAGCATAACGATTTTTGCATATGTTATTCCTAACCCTCACCTGACTATGCCATCCAAAAATTACGTCACTACGACGTCACCATCACGTCATAGGAATTGCCAAAGTATAATTACGATCGCCCAAAATGCTGAAATGGCATCTGCGCCGCTGGTAAGAACTTGCTAAAGCCGGCGATCTCTCTCCTATCAGGATCATTGCGACGAGAAAAGGAGATAAATAGCTTGCTCGATTTCGGGTTATCGTCTGCGCGTTTTGGACGACCATCCGCATACTTCGGTGAGCCTTGATTACGCCACTGTGACGTCGGAATGACGTAATTTTTCGGTGACGTAGTCAGGTTGGGGTTAGGATTGACATATGCAAAAATTGTTGAGCCAGGCCAACTAGAAGTGGTCAGTACCTATCTTAGTCAAGTAAGAATAAATTAGTTAAGTTTATTTCAATTTTGCGGTACAACAAAATTAAGAAGCCATACAGGGCAAAACAAACAAATATCTACGGAAAATCAGGAAATTAGGCAAAATCTAAGAATATTTAAGATGTGCTAATGCATAATGGAAATGCTCGTGCACACTTACAGTACCCTACTACCCTCAACAGAAAATGTTGAAAAAATAAACGAAGACTTGAATTATATACTTACTTTGGCATAGTTAAAAATGTTTATTGTCCAATTACAAACCTATCGGGTAAAAGGATGAGCACGTCTCCCCACGCATTAGCTCCAAACGACAAGGTTTATGAAATGACAATGAAGTTAGTGCTCCTTGTCAAGACGCAAAAATGATTCACGGACTTCAACAATCCTTTAACGCTCTGTAGTGTGTGGATAATTCAAGAGAAAGAGAGAGAGAGAGAGAGAGAGAGAGGCCACAAGTCATTTTTAGTTTTTATATAAACCAATATCACAGCATTATATCAATGAAAACATATATTTATAAAACAACAATTTATAAAATGAAATGTTACATATATATAATTATTATATATTTTCATATTTTCCATTGTTTCTAATGTTTGAATATATTTTCCTTTTTTAATGCCCCCGCCCCTCTCTTCCATTCTCTCTAACAGTGTCAACAAATTTTAAAAATATTTTATTAAGATTTTCTTTCACTCATATTAATTTGTATATGTAAAAGTGTCTGCGAGTACAGCATGGACCCTGCGAAATATATGGCCACGGATCTGGTTGTATTTTGAAACACAAGTTGGCAAGACCACTGTCACTCATAAAATCGCTGATGTGTTTCAATCATTGTTGCCAGCGCGGGAATTCAAGAATCGTACCGTAATTTGGGGTTTTTCTTTTGACGGTTTGGGCAGAGGTTTTAGAAATACAGAAATAGATGAGCAACTAAAAAACATGGATGAGACGAAGAGCCCGGGATCTGTGAAGAAATTGAAACAAGGTAAAGCTGTTGTGGCACCGGTGGCAATGCAAATAAAAATTAAATTGAATTATTTGAAATGCTTCACTTGAAACTGTGAAAAAGCAAACGGTCTGAACGCTGCAAAGGCAGTCCACTACATGACTGTAGTCTGAGCATTGTATCTTACCGTACCGTACCTATGTCTGTTTGTACCTAACGACTTATATTCTGATATTTACAGCGCAATTGCCTTTTATGGTTCTGAGGGACAAAGGCAATTCACCTTCGATCAAACAGAAAGAGGAGAAGAAAAATGGTAAGCCAGTAAGATAAATACAGAAATAAGAGAATTCAGGAATTGTAAAATCTGTAAGTTATTAAGTTAGCTTACTATTACAGTATTACCACAGACTCGTACAGTCTTATGAATTCTTTGGTACAAGTTTTTAATCGATTACTGTAAATATTCTAATGCTCTAACACTGTAATGAGGTAAGATATTGCTAAAACATTTTCATATTTGTCAATTCTTTTGTAATTGCTGTATCAAATTGTCAACTATTTAAATGTGATTTTTCTTATCTTAGTTCTGTAGTTGCCTATTTAATGACCAGACATTGACAAAAATCATTAGTTTAAGAACTGAAGAACATTGTTCACAAAATGATATTCTTAATTTACATGAAAAATATTAATTTCTTACTTTATTGTTAATTGGTTTTGAACCTCAATCTGCTTTTATATTATTACAGAAGCAATATCTATTTTGTTATCTGATGATAATGCAGAAAAAGAGAATATTTCTACGCCTCAAACAATGTAAGAAAAAAAAATGAAATTGCTATGTACAGATAAGTAGTACAATAGTATGCCGATCTTTTATTTTGTCCTGATTGAACTAAACCGATTTAGACATTTCTGATAAGCCTATTCAAAAGAGGCTGAAGGTGTTTTTGTGGTCATTGGAGTATGGCGTTGGACATATTGGAAACGTTATTCATCAACTTTTCGTATCTTTATATACCTCATTTAATTGATTTTGGAAAATAAAAAACAGAAAGTTTGTTTATTTTGATTTTTTCTGCACTGGATTTGCGAACTATATTATAAAATTACCAGAAGAATTACTCATATTGGGTATAACACATTTTATTTTTATGTTGCGTTTATTCATATCATTCGTTTTTCGATATCATATGATACTTTTTTTCATTCAACATAGTTAAAAATGCATTATGTAGAAAACTGCACAAGTTCATAAATAAATAAGATTTTGGAATTCTATGAAATTATTATCTTAGTAGAAAGTAGGCTAATAGAAGTTTACATTAATTGTAATTACTTGATTTAATCCAATTTTGATATTTCTTGCTCACTGCATCTTAAGCATTCAAAATGGTTTAAAATTAAAGCATGTCTATAAATTTTACAGTGCAAAGAAGGATATTGAGAAAAAAATAAAGACATCGGTGAGTTTACAAATAACTTGAATACATGAATATTAGAATAATTATGTTTTTCGTCATTTTGGTAGTCTCAATATTTGAGTTTGTTTGTTTTTCGAAAATTTATATATGCCTATATTTGGCAGTAATAAGTTCTGTATCGGGATGAAGTTGAAAAATGAGACTTTTATTTATTCATTTTTACCAATAAATTGATTTTTAGGAGATCCTGCGTTCATATTGTTGTAATTATATTCCTTTATATTACTTAGTATTTCAAAAGTCTGCTTACAAATTATTTCGCTTTTCACTGAGACAGACAGATGTTTGGGGTTTCAATAAATTTATGTTATATATTCCAATTTTGTTGTGATAAGAAAGTTTATTTTCAATAAAGCCACTTTATTGCGAAAATATTTTGACTTTCCGGTATAGGCTTACTGAAGTATTTTTTATGACGGATCATACCTTTCCTAATCTATGTATAATGAGCATAAAAGCATCTGCTATAGAGATACAAGCAAAAAACGATATATCAACAGCTACTATTCTTTGAATGGCACAAAAGCTTTGGTATTGGCTAAAGAATTTATCGCACACTTGGTGAGGTGGTTGGCCTAATGTGTGAATCCGAGATAATGCACCTTTGAGGCCACCATAGTTAGTCCAGCAATGTCATATCCAGTTCACATCTTTGCTAGCACTGTACGAAAAATTGTTTATTTTTTCAAATACTTTTTTTTTTATCAGGACTGTGAATCTATGATTGTTGATTTGACTGATGAAACTTCACGTGATTCCATTCCACCTACTACACAAAGCAATGAATCTAATGAAAGTAAAATGCCTTCGACTATTTTGAAACATATTGATGATTCCATTGAAGCTGTGGTCCGTCGCTATTCTTCTGAATTTCATATCACTGGAGATGGCAATGTCACCCCTAAAGGTATGTAGGGAACAGTGAAATAATTACACACTAATATAACGTATTTTCTCACTATACACTATAAAATTAACGATGATGTCGAATTTGTGTTTTTAATACTGTTTATTTGTGGCTTGTTTATTTTGGTTCATCTAATATTGTTCTCCTGGTATATATTATTTTGTTGATTGAATTGATCTCCTTGAGTGACAAAAAGATGCTTTAACTACTTCACTGCCCTTTCAAATAATTTGTCACATTTTTGTAACAGCAATAAAATATCAGACTCTATTTCTATATTAATTCTACATTGTTCGTTTCCATTAGAATTGAGAACACAGTCTAGCATTGCTGCTTTAGTTTTAACCAAAGTTTACAATGCTTCAAAATAAACTTATGTATGGAATGGAATGAGAATCTTTGGGTGTTTTTTCTTGAAAACCTGTATACCCTTTATGACATTTTTAATCAAGATTTGTTTTAACGATATCACCTTGTTTTTGCTTTAAGACACTGCTTCAGCAAAAAAGCGACGTCGTAGGTCAGCATCATTATCGCCTCTTCCGCCAGATGCAAAACGACCTATACTAGGAAAGGAATCATTTGTGACACCTTCAAAATCAGAAAATGATGACAAACTGGCAGGCAAGAGTTCGAAAGAAAGTACTTCTCATAGCAAGATTCCTGAAATTGTGATTACAGCTGCCACACCACCAGTTGGTAAACAGAAGAACCTAGCAAGTGAAAATGCCTCTCGCAAGATGCATTTAGAAAAAATGTTAAATCGTGATAAAGATTTGACGCAAGTAAAAAAGCATTCTCCATTATCTGCTGTGTTGCCAAAGAAAAGGCCAAGATCGAGATCACCATCGCCTTCTCGTTCTAATAATCAGAAAGTAAAGGTTGAAAGCAAGGCTTCAACATGTGTGAAAATCGACTTGACAAAATCAACTACACCTTCGAAGAAATCCAAGCAAGCTGATGAAGATGAGTGTACTGTTAAAATAGAGGTTTGTAGTTACGTAACTATGTTAACTGAAAAACAGCGATTTTTAAGACAGAATTTTTGTATTTGAATAATGCTCTTAAATTGCGGTCATTTCACAGTAATGATTAGGTTCTATGTTTAATTTGCATTGTTAAATCAGGATCCTTCCATGACTATGATTTTACTATCAATCAGAAAATGGCGGTCTCTAACTAGCAATTGAGAACCACAGATGAAGTGGCCTGAGTGCGCTGACCCATTACTATCTTTGACTTGGCAAAAAACAATATTCAACCTGGACCTCCTTAGAAAAGCTTTTCCACTCAGTGATTTGTTACACTTGGTACATGAAGATTCAAAAATATGAATTAGTCCATGTAATAAATTAAAATTTTTCATTGTAATTAATTTATTATATAAGCAATTTTGATTTCAAATTTCACAGCAGAAATTCATGCTGAATAACATTATTTCATAAGTGTTTTGAAAATTTTAAAAGTTTTTGCTGTTTTGATTATACATTAATGATCCATTTTAAAGCCAAACACACCTTTCTCGTATTTTTTTTTTAAATTGTAAAAGTTTTTACTGTTTGATAATGCACTACTCAGCCATTTTTAAGCCAAACACAGGTATTCCCCGGCCTCTTTTAAATCTTTTATTCAATATATTCAGACAGCCAAACACGTAACTCCAGTTAAAGAAGAAAATATAGTCAAAGATGGAGACAAATCATCAACTGAAACTTGCCAAACACCCCCACCAGCTTCAACTTCCATGGATTCTAGTCAGCTCGATACCCCATCACCACCTGAGAAACCAAGCAATGGATCAAAGATAACTCCTGGAGTGAGAGCTTTTTTCTTTCTAGATAATCATTCTTTCCAGCATATTCAGAGGGGCATTCTGAGAATTTATCTGCGTAGTTGGTACATTGTGCTATGTGTTACCTAATAACATAGTCACCATTGCACTGCTGAGTACTTCTACGTTTGAATCCTGTCATAATTGTAAAGATTAGCTTAACGGAATAAAGATTGTGGAGATCAATAGAAACATGTATGCAATCGTACCTTTGATAACTCTAGGGATTCACAGTTTCGAATCCCACAAAGTTATTTATGTGTGAAAGGATAGACGGACCACAGGCTGTGGTCATGTAACCACTGGTCAATGTTAGGGGTCAAGCCATTATCAAGCCTATGCATCTGAAACAAATGGCTAGTTGAATATTTCTATACCAGACATGGTCTGGTATTTGGAATTGGACGAAAGGTCATTTTATCATTTTTACTTTATCCGGTTTATATATGAAAATCTTGTTCTATTACTGTCACTGTTTTAGAGTGAGTTAACATTGTTGCTGGGCTTCCTTCACCATCCCATATGGGCTTGTGAAACAATTACTCGCTTAGCCATATTCATTCCTAGACTATACTGATTGCTGGGCAGAAGATCATGGTATGTCATATTATGTCATCTCAGCGGTTTTCTGCAACTTGGTCACCTGATTTTGATTTTTTTTGTCTTAATGAATTAGTATATTTATAGAGTAAAATTGCAAGAAGCCTCGAGGCACAACGCAAAAAAGAAGAGAGAGAAAAAGAAAGAGAAGAAAAAAGAAAACAGAGAGAGGAGCAACGTCTCACAAAAGAAAAAGAGAAGTTGGAAGTAAAGAGAAAAAGGGTATATTTTGTAGACTTTATAGTAAGTTTGGGTTTTCTTGTCTATTATGTGATTTTATATTTTAATTTAGGATGAGGAAAAAGCTCAGAAAGAAGAAGAAAGAAAGAAAAAAAAGGAGGAAGAAGAATTGATCAAGGCTGAAAAACAAAAGAAAATTGAGTGAGTGAAATTTTTACGAGTGTGACTGACGAAGTATTTTTTTAATGAAATTTTAATCAATCGAATGGTCATCTAATTCCTTAAACAATACTTCTATTCATCAGAGAGAAACGTAAAGAAAAGGAAAAACTTGAGCTGGAGAAGAAATTGGAAAGAGAGAAGAAAGAAGAAGAGAAAAGGAAGGAAAAGGAGAGAAAAGAGGAAGAAAAACGACAGAAAGATGAAGAAAAAAAACAAAAGGAAGAGGAAAAAAGACAAAAGGAGGAAGAAAAATTGCAAGCTGAAGAGGAGAAGGTTTCATTTGTTTAAACTTAGAAATTGATTTGACTCCCGAAATGTTCTGATTATTTTGTGTGTTCAACCAGCAATGCTATGCTAAACTTTCGAATCACCTAATTAGTAAATGCTCATGAAGTTTTTGTATTAATGAAAACTTGATGAAATTTCTTCGCCCATAGTATTTTTACAGACTATTAGTATTACTGCTTTTTGTAATTTGCCATTGTGGGGATAATTTTTCGTTTTGACTTTTAGTAATTTTATTTTTAGTTGATGACTTCTGATAAATTTCACATTGAAATTTTGCTGCTCGTAATTTTTTTTGCAACATTAGTATACAAAATATCTTGTACTAATTTACCGTAAATTGTACATTTAATTCCAACAGAGAAGAAAAAATGAAAAGAGAGCAGAAAGTTTCAAAAGTTTTTTCAAATCGCCTGCTAGATCTCCTTCAATAAAAAAGGTAAAGGTAAATTTAATGAGATTGTCAATATTTAATTAGAATTGCTAAAACAAAAATTTCACGTTCTATTATTTGTATGCTCAACAGGATTAACTGAAGAATTTAATTCAAGTGTTATTTGGAAAATTTTTTTCTGAAAATCTTGCAATTTTTCTACTGAATTATTTATTATGTTACGATTTTGTTATAAAATGATTTCATTTTTGTTTGTAACCAAAATTAATTTCAAAGCCAATTTTATATGCGCTCTCACGACTTCCACTTCAAACAATGTAGAAGCAGCTACTGCAATGTAAGGTGCTTCGAAAGGCCCGTGAATCTTTTTGCCTTGGTGTTGCCTTCTCGATTTATTACATTTATATTTATTTGGGTGAGGGTGGTTGTTATGGGATTAAACCTGTGATGCCAACATAGGTATATCAAACATTATTTATGCCCACTGAAAATTGGGGAATAGCAAATATGTTGATATTGACTTACCAAGACACTACCGCGATTACGCTTCATGTTTATCTGTATATATAAATCTATCGTTTCCAGGAGTCGCCACAACTCACTGGAGTTTTCCCTCCATTTCAATTGAAGAAAGACATGATCCTAGCACCTATAACACGAATGAAGATTGATTCAGCTCAAAAGGCATATCTTGACGACGCATTGGTGAAACAGGTATAATTCTAGTCTGCCCATGATTCCTGAACTTCATTTTTTGCCTAGTTTTCAGCAAGCGGCTCATTTCGGAATTGGAACAAGTATCTCAAGTGCTTTTTTTATATAGACCACAAATATATTAAAACACATAGCTGTCTGGTTTGAAAGCCAATCTGAAATTTTTTGGATAATTGTAGATTTCACTTTGTGTATGCTCCGAATGAAGCCCTAAACAAGTGTTCTTCGCAAACACAAAGTTTAATTTCTCCTCATCAAGACTTCATTCACAGTTATTTAAGCCGCTGTGTTCAATATAACTTCATATCATTGGTCTAATATGAACCATCTCTAATTCCATTTTGATTATCATTTTCTGACATGAAATTTTTTTTTTTTTCAGGATTTCACTTCATCTTACATGAAACAGTTTGGAAAAAAATATAAAAGAAACATGTCTATGCCTACTCTACCTAAACTAAGAAGACAACTTATGAGGTAATTTATTGGTTTCAACATTTGCTGTTTTTTTATGTTCATATGTTTTTAGTGTTTTTTACAGTAAAACTGAAATTTGATGAGATAAAATAAACTGATACTGAAAAAAAAAAAATAAAAAAATTCAAGTTTGAATTTGAAAATATTTTATTTTATGACTTTTTATTTATTTATTATTAAGCTTATCTGAAGATGGACTTGAGCTTGTAGAAGATGGCGAGAGTCAGCCTGGTGCTAAAATATTACGAGCTAAATTCCTCCTGTTTCATACAAATTATCGACCTCCATATTTTGGAACTTGGAGAAAAGAAAGCAAAAATCTCAGCTACAAAAATCCATTCAAGAAGGATACTGTGAGTTTTATAGTTAACTTGTTTTCAATTTCTAAAACACCTTTAGAAGATATAATATTTCTAGAATATGAAAACTGGAAAGAATTCGTGTCGTGCAATTCCAGGAGTCTTTTTGCAATTTAGCATTTGCTTGCCTAGACTAGTGTTTTGATGGAAGTTTAAAACACTTAATGGATAAAATGAAAAAAAAGTGTATCATTTTTTGCAAGTTAATTTCGTTACCGCAACGTTTCGTGCACTCACTCGGCAGTAAAGGAGACTCGTGTTTGTGCAAAATGAAGGGAAACCAGTTAAAAAGTAGTACAGACGGTATTTATATTGTAATAAATTGTAATAAATTATATTGAGCTACAGAAACTAAATTTATATTAAATTAGGTAAATTTTCAATATTTCAGGATTTGTTTGATTATGAATTTGATTCTGATGATGAATGGGAAGATCCCGGTGAGGGAGAAGACATTGATAAAAGTGATGATGTGAGTCATCATTTCTTGCTTTACTGAAATCTACTACCCTCATCGCTTTAAAAAAGTGTTTGGTCTCTGTCTGATATCAGCGAAGTTTTTACCAGAGAAACAAAACGAAATGAATATTCGAATGCATTCGAAATTGGTTATATTCTATATAGTTAATTCCTTATTTCTAAAATAATTGTCATCCTGAGTGTTTGGCAACTGATTGTAAGACAGAAAATAAACTTGGTATGTCTTCTGTCATTGTGATATAAAACAGAATATTAATAGAAGTATTGTTTATCTGAGACATATTACAAATTACAATAGCAAATTCAATTTTTATAAATTTATATGGTTTGTGTGAATTTCTTGCTGAATGTGACAAATTTTAAAAAATGTTCAATATTTCATATTCAAAAATATTTTTTTTCAGAATGTAATCGGGTATACATTCAGTTTTTGGCCATCCCTGTTTCTGATCCATACATAGAAGACTTACCCCACTTGTCATTTTTCTAAAGTAATTCTTTAAGTTGTGTACAATCTAATAATCTAGATTTATATACTTCATTTGCACAAACCAATTACCATAGATCACAGGAGGGAGTCGCAGAAAACTGCGCAAGTTATTGAGCTGTTGCTAGTTGACACCCTTACTCTGCACTTACATGGTGTAAACAAAAAAAGAGGAAAAAATACAACTGCTAAACATAATATTGAAAAACAAAACAGAAGAAATAAAAAGCGGGGCATTTTTCAAATATCTTATTGATTGACGAAAATTTCAAACATTGATTTTATATATTCCATGAACAACATATTGAATTTGCTACATACCAATCAATTCTAATATATCCAACTTTCTAACTTGGAAAATTTATTGTTTTGTTTATCTAACAGGAAGATGAAGAAGAAAAAGCAGATGAAGATGAAGACGACGGATTCTTTGTTCCTCATGGATATTTATCTGATGATGAAGGAATCAATGAAGAGGTCTGCCTCATATTATAATATTTTTGAAAATTTAGAACATCCAAGTTATAACAATTAATATACTTTTGTGTGGAGACTGGTTCCATTCATATTCCATAATGTTCTCAATTCGATAAATAGTATTGGACGGGTACACTTGTAAGCAATGCCATATTAAAAAATATAAGTACCCATGGAAATGTTCTCGTGAATCTTTGGGCATTAGCAAATCTAGGGAACTTGCTGTTTAAAGAATGTCTCTGTTTTCATGCATGTCGGCGGTTGTTTAAGTTTTATTGTTAACATCACAGGCTGAAGATGATGGGCCGAGACCTGATCATAAGTTGAAGCAAAAACAATTGGAATTCGAAGCTTCTTTCAAACGTAAATTATCAGCTCTCACTCCTGTTATTATCGGATGTGTGTGGAAAGATAGTAAAGAAGCGGTGGATAAAGTACACAGGGATATTCTCCGTAGTTACAAGGTATGTTATTCAGGGGGTATCGGGGTTGAAAAACTAAATATAATCTGGTAGTTTAGCTCATGGGCACGGTTTGCCGTGGTATTTTAGAGTAATAATGTTTTTGATTTGTTGTAAGACGCAAACGCGAGTTACGTTGTACGCAATTGAATTAATATAGAAAGACATTTTAAATTCTCGTAGATCTCAATTTCACGAGACAAACAATTCATTATACGTTAAAAAATACGGCTCTTTTAAGGAGCGCATAGTCGCGGCGACTGTTTCAGAAGGGAAAGGGAATTTCCAACTTTAAACCTTCCTCCCTTTGTTAAAATCCTTGTTGCTCCCCTGATGTTAGTACATCTTTTACCTAATATTGAGGTTCAGTGTTTGGTATATGAATGAGCGTATGAGTCCGCCAATACAAGTCCTGTGGAGATTGATTATGTGTTAACGAATTGCTAAATTTATCGTAATGTTGTTCGCATAACCTATTACGGCTTCCTTCTTCAACTGACGCACTTTTGAAAACGATTCACCGAAGACCTTTTTTTCTATATGCAGCCTGGAATATCGCATTGTATGGATAGGCTTCAGTTCTACATACTATTTACTGTTTTATAATATTTTTTCTTCTTGTATGGTGTTCAAAGCACTAGTTGTTATTGTATTTAATAATATTTTTTTTCATGCATATATTTTTAGGCTGAAATATTGAGCAGTACACCGATTCCTATTCATCGGCCTAATAAGAAAAATGCAGAAAAAACATCTGAATCTCCGAATGAAGCTGGGAAGTCTGATAAAGTAAAGAAATATGGATTGAAGGCAGTTCCTGAGGAAGGTAGTTCATGGATTTTTTTATTTGTTTCATCTTAATTTATGTTAATTATGTTTTATGTTAATTATCTTCAAGATTTGATTCAGCATAGTTTTAATTCAATCAAAGCAAGAGAGGATGATGTAGTCCCTCCATCTTGACAATTCATATTATATGTTGACCCAGGGGTTGAAGTGTTAGAATTGAATGTTTGGCACCACATGCTAAATCTCTGGTTCAATTGCTATGCCGACCACCTCACTCAAGGTCTAATGAATTGAGTGGGCAATGTGATACCAGAAAGATTCCAGTCCTTCAAAAATTGTAGCCTTTTACATTCTGTCAGATATCAGTAGCTGATTGTATAATGCCTTATTTGGAGCGAAAGTGTAAATTAGCGTTGATTTAAAAAATATTGGTGTTTTTTCCCTGCTTTTGGAAAGCAATGAAGAGTGAGAAATTTGTAATATTATATTCCTAAATAGTATTTTTATTTTATTCTCGAAAATATCATGTACCAAAATTTTAAAACTAATTTTTAAATTCGACCGCTGAGAAGGAAAAATTTCGGAAAAGGTTTTAAAATACAGGCAACCATTAATTGTAAATAAATTTAACATATTGTTGTTTGTTTGGCGATAATACAATGGTTTAACTTTCAAGACAAAAGAGCGAATGCTCATATTTTATTTTATTTAAAATAATGACAAGAAATAGATGCTTTTCAAGCTAGTTACTGACCAAAGTTTGAGGCCATATTCATCAAAGTATTTCGATAAAAACTTTTGAAAATTATAAATATATGTTACTCAATTACTCAAGACATTTTTCTTTCAAATTTCATTTTTTGGGTTGAAGCTCTCGCGTTATGATTGCAATTATATTTTTAGCAATGCATGATCTTATTCGTCTTCTGCATGGAAATCCTCTCAGTCTCGCTAGATTATCACAAGAGTTTCGTGTTTTCTGGAAATTAAAAAATAGTGAAGGTGAGGCAACAGAGTATGGTCCTATGTCTCTCGATGAAAGTGAAGATGATATTGTTATGGAAGAAAATGTTGAACCTATGGAGGTTTCACCTTCGGAAGGTAGGATCAACTTTGTATATGTTGATGTATAGTTTTTGTGGATAAACAATGATTTATATAACTGACAACTGTGTGTAATACTTTAAACGTATATATAACAGGGTGACTCAAAAAACAGAAACCAGGTCATTTGGAACATATTGTAGAAAGAACAAACCTTTTGTGAAAAGCATCATAGGTCATGGGAAACAATCGTCTGCTTGTATATGATTTACACACACTAGGATAAGATTTACAAATTTATCCTACGGGAGAGGAAAGCCAATAAAACGGCTTGATCATATGTCAAACCATGGCCTCTCGTCCAATTACAGTCCATGTCGGGTATGGGATTAGTCAGCTAATTATTTGTTTTATAGATGCATGGACTTGACCGAACCTAAAAGTTTTATTAATCTAGGATGCTTTGCACAAAAGTTATGTTCTCTCTATTATATGTTCTAAAGAACCAAGGTTCTGTGTTTTTGGTCACCCTCAGTATAAAGCAGGGGTCACCAAACTACGGCCCGCGGCGTCAGTTTATCCGGCCCGCAATAACACGCAAAAATGGCGAATTTTTTTCCAAGGGAAATTTTCCTTGGGCATCGTCTTGTTTATTTCGTAACATTGGCCAATCAGCAAGATGCAAAAAAGTGACGTAATAATAGGCCCTTTCGCATCCGCTTAAATACTTTTGTTTTGTCACCCCTGACAGATTTTCAGTAGTGGTTGTAAACAATACTTCGTTTTTGCGATTTTGAATGCTATTCGTTAGTTTTTGGTTGTGTTTGGGAAATTTGAGTATGAATCAAATACGTCAATCATCATTTGCCTCCTTAGGAGTTGTAGTTTTAATAGTAGTAATGACAAATTAGTCTAGAAATAGCTGTGACAAAATAGGCTAAAATTCTCTACCGGTACGCAACGTTTTCTGCGAAAGATGCACTCGTGGCGCGTGCTTTCGACGAAACTATTTACGTTTCTTGTGCTAAAATGAACGTCGAATGTGCATGTTGCGCTAACAGTACTGTAATCCCTCGCGTACTGCTCCAATTTCACAAGTCACACTAACTTTTGTACTGCTTTATAGCGGATATGCATGTAGGTATGTTACAAAAAATTAAAGTTTATCCGATTTAAATAAAAACTGCGCCGGTGGATCTGAGTGAAAACAATACCAATTTTATAAAAAAACGATCAAGAAATAACGGAGATATCGGAATTTTAGTACCACCAGACAGGCCAATTCTTTCCATAAGGATTGTATTACTTTTTTCATAAGAACTGTAATAAATATGAAAAAAGAACACATATCAATCACTAGTCTTTCGATCTGCGTCACATCTATGGAATATTGAGACTATTTCAGGATTTTATTCTGTCAACGGTCTTGATACCGCCGAAAGAGCTTCGCAAATAAACGCTGGTGTCGTGCACGTTAGTTTGACAGTGGTTCATTGTCGGTAATATTTAACGATGTTTCGATTGTACAAATTTCATAAAAATTGGTAAGTATCAAGTTAGAAAAGAAATACACACGTCCACATAAATTTATTGGTGTCCATAGACAATATCATTAACCTGTACTACGTATAAATAGAGCGTAATTTTTAAAAGCTCCGAATGTTGAAAAATTTTTGCTCTGATGAAAAAAATCAAATACCAGATAATAGTTGTTTATTTTATCTAAATTATGTCAAAATTTCATGGAATTCCATGCTACAGCAGGCAGTACGTAGTCGCTTTAATGAGCGGTATTCGACGCGGCGTAGCGGTACTTAGCAGACGTGATGCGTACATTTTTTGGAGAGAAAAAGCGGATTTTGTAACATTCCTAATTCATGACTGCAACGTTTTGATAACAGCTAAACTCAGGGTAGTTGTCTACATATAGAAATCTTGTATATTTGTTTTCCTAGAATGTTCTCGATCTATATTCTGCGATATAAATAGAATTTAATATTTAAGTCTTCAGAAATATAGAATATATATTGTTGAATAAATTGCATAGATTTCCCAACTTTTATGAATTTATTGTATTGCATTGACAAAAATAATTGTCCGGCCCGTTTCAACACAGTTTGAGTCATATCCGGCCCGCGGTCAAAAAAGTTTGGTGACCCCTGGTATAAAGTCTTGATAAGAGAAGAACTTATCACTTTTTAATTGTGTAATATTGTTAAGATACAAAAATATGTTATTTAAATTCAGATAAAACCAGCAAGCTAGCATCGGTCAATGAAGTAGATAAAACACCAACCAGCAGTAAAATTGCTTTAGACGGTGGAAAAACGCCAATTATCACCCCCAAAAGTGGAGAAAACAAAGATTTTGAAATATCGAAAACTCAGTTGTTGAAACGATGTAAAGAAATAGCAACTTATTACAAGAGAGATAATATCAATAGAGCTTGCTGGTGAGACAGTTGTTGAATCTTTTCTAATTCTATATTACTTATTGAAGCTATTTTTTGTTGGTGATGCAACGGACGTGTGCTAGAATGGTAAACTACAAACTTGAGATGAAGTAAGACTGGGCCTGCTGAAAACGGTTAAATATGATTAAAAATTAACAAAAAACACAAACACTGGGAATTAACAATTAAGCTTCAATTTTGCCATATACCTGGGGCTCTGCACTTCCACCTGCAGCCCTGGGACAGCGCTCGATAACCTCCCAGTTTCCTCATCCATTTCACACTAGGAGTCATTATAAAGATGTGTTATTAATTGAGTTTTTTGAATACATTCTAAAATAAATTTTGCGAATTTGAAATATTGAATATATATTCTGAAATAGTCTGTTTCACAAGATAATTGATCGTAAGATAGCAAATGCTTGAAATGACATTTTCAAATCAAAATATTATATATTATTCCCAAAATCAAGATTTTACAAGATCGAATAATATAATAATAATAACAATAATTAGTTTTGAAAGGTCTGAATCTTTCTGGAACGGTATCGCGTACCCAATTTATACTGAGTGAGGTGGTGGGCATTGGAACCCAACATTTTAACCCACGATGTTGTAGTTAGGTATAGTGCTTCAATCACGAGGCCATTGCTGACGGCTAATTTTCATTCATTCGCTGTGGAAATTCCTGGTATTTGTACATTTGCAAATTTTTCTGATAATTTCAACACATCTTCAAATTACCGTAGAATTTGCCTCGAAACATGTTTTATTGGTTCCTCACACTCTTGAATTAAAGTCGTGAGTTTATTGTAGAATGGATTGACTTGGAATTTAATCCAGCAAACTATTGGAAGTATTACTAAAAACGGAAATTTCTCTTTCAGGTTTGTTCATGATCACATCCTTGACAAGTATGATGTGGGAAGCAACAAAGCACCAATTCCATCCAAATGGAGATATGCTACAGATGTTAGAAAAATTCAGATTTTAATATTTCCAAAAAGTACTGGGAAACCAGCATCAACAACCGAGTCTAGTGCTACCATCACACATCAGAGTCCTGGTGCTAGTATCGCAAAATTTGTGGCGAAAGTTTCACCCGATGATATTTTGGAACAAAGCAAGTTAAAGTAAGTTTAAGTTGTTTGTTGCTATGTCAACTTACTGACTAGATAGAAACATTACTTCTAGAACTTGACTTTATGTGAAGTTGTGAAGAAACAAAATTGATGAAATAATTGTATCATGTGTAATCATACCTTTACTAAGTGTGGCAAATGTCCTGAATATAACCCCAACATTTTAGTTTATTCACACTTTAATTGCATTCATTTAACGAGATGAAGGAAGCAAGGGTATGTATTTATGCCCACTCGAAAAAACTAACTTACATTTTACAGTCAATGTGTTAACTATTGTTACAGACATGAAAAGGCGAAACAATCCACTGTCTCTAATAATGTCCCGACGGCTAATTATCCTGTTGTACCATCTATTGCAAAGTATACAACTGAAAAGGTTAGCAGATGTTAAAAACCATAATTTCATGTAAAATACCTGGTATCTCTGCAAGGCGTTATACACAGATGTTGTGATGTTTGAAATAGGTCTAAAATTCGAATTCAATATTGATTATATTTGTTATGGTAAATTGCTGATTTTAGGAATCATTTAGAACAGTGGTTCTCAAACTTTTCAAGCCGCGCCCTCTTTTTAGAATTCGTCAAACAAAAAGCTACAAACGACAGATAGTAAGGCGAAAGTAATATAACAGATAATTTAAATGAAGCACAACAGTTATCTGGAATCTCCAAACAATAAAGAAACGTAAATATCCAAAATATGGCGGACAAGATCAAATCTAACGAATATTTTTAATTAGCTTTATGTACCCTCAAAAGATTGTCTACGCCCCCCTTGGACGGTGCAGCTCACCGTTTGAGAACCACTGATTTAGAATATTTAGATACTCAATTTCAAATTTCGTCAGATAATCTAGACAAAACTTTCACTTGGACTTCTGACTGTGTTAAGTGTAGAAAACCAATCAAAGCCATGTTTCTTTCACATTTATTTCATTACCAATACCATTTTCTGAGAATTGACTTTGATTTGTGCATATTCAACTGTTGGACATGAACCAATTAAAATAAAGTGAGGAATATTTCACGATATAAGCAGAATAACAAAGATGTTTAGTACTATTGAGCTATGTAAAAATGTAATCTTTCTAATCCTCACGTCACATCCTGTACCCAAGAAGTCACAGCTAGGTACTGCAGTTTGGACTGGAATCTTACTGGTTCGCCGTTTAGGCCCCTCTTTGATATGTTCCTTTCAAAATCTCGTTTAAAGCAAATAGTCTTTTTCAAATCATTTCTTCGTTAATTTACAGATTTCACCAGTCGTTATTATAGAGAAGAGTGCTCAAAAAATTGCTGAAGCTATGGCAAAATGTAAAGAACAACATGCAGCGAAAGTAGCTCAGAACACTCAACAACAGACTCAACCCCCCATGCAGGAAGCAATATATGTTATTCCAACACCTGATGCGGTCAAAACGTTCTTTGGTATCGACGCATCTCTAGACAAAAGGCCTGCAACCTCAATGGATAATACTACCGATAAAGAAAATGATGGTAGTGATTAGCTACCTCGACTAAACTAACTTTCAGATTTAAATCGGTTAAACAATGGAAGCTTTCTAATACTATTTTTTATATTACAAGAATGCTTCTGTGTGGAGAATTTAATGCTCTGAATGATATTAGCTGAACCTAACCAGGATGACATCACAGGTTATATTCTTGGTCTCTAATCTCATGCCCAGAACCTCACTCATATTGTTATAAATATGGTAGGCAATGCTGAAACCGAAAGATTACATGCAGTCCTTCCAAACTATAGAAGCATGGCATGGCACTGACTGCATGTGCAGAGCCTTTGTTCAGAACATATAAAAATATGTTATGTAAAAATTCCGTTTTGGGGCTTGTCACAAATTTGCACCTCGGAGAATATTTTGCTTGTGATGAATTGTTTCACTGCCCTTGATAATATATTGCCATCTGAATCTAGAACAGTCAAATTTGTTTAATTTTTCTTTCATTGTTTTCCACTTCATATTTCTAGAATTGTGATTGCTCTGCAATTCCAATCATTTCTTTTCACCTCTTATTGTTCCAATATTCTGCTACAGATGGGAGTTTCACAATAAAATATTTTGTGTGTAATGCTAAGTGTTTCCTCGTTGTATATAGTCTTATGAGGTATAGTCTTATGAGGTTACCGGTATCTTCATTCGAAATGTACTGGCACTATGGATTTTGTTGTATTGTGATCATTCTTTAATTTAAGCTTGTGAGCATCGGTCTCTACCTCCGAAAGCTGCAATAAAAATAGCTAAATAGAAGCAAAGCACCTCTTTTTTGGGTATAAACCATACAAAACGAAAGCTTAAACAACCATCCATTGAACTCATGCCTCAGCGAGGGGATATGGTTTGAACCCTACTGGCTCTTCGATAAGCGGCAATACTTTAGTTGGAACTATGAGAAAGATCATCTGCTTGCACCAGAAGACATCCATCTTGACAATCCCTTCTGCAGCAATACTTCCCCTCACTCTGGATGCAAATAAATTGGGAATGAAAAGATTGGACTGGAAAGGTGCGATATGGAATTATGTTGATTCACTAGAAAGGCTCCAGTCTTCTCGAATGAGCGATGGTAACGAACTGAAGTCTATGCTCGAGCACAAGTTTTGCAGATGGTCACTCACTCGCACCCGACCCCAAGTCTTTGACAGAAGACATTAACATCGATGAGGCGATTATCTTGATACTCTTAGAATGTCTGACACATCGGCTCTCGGCCCGGACAAGTCTCTCTTCGGATGCTGAGGTCCATTCCTCTGAGCACCATCACGAAAATTTTCAACTTGCGTTGCTAAGGTGCAGTCAACCCCAAGCCCTTCGTCACTCACGAACGATATTAATAACTTCATTCAAAAGTGTCTTCTTCAACAGGTCAAGGAGAATTTAGGCCTATAACTATTGGCTCTATAATATCGAACTTTGATCCTGGGAAGAGGGCTTGGAGAAGGCTTTCCTCTGGAGCTTTTGACTCGAGCATCAGACGCGTTGCCATACGGGTGGGGACTCCACCTCATTTTGTGGCGTATCTCACTATCTGCTGCACTTGTGCAAGAGCCACAATTAGGCTTGCACGTAATTGACAAAAATCAATTCCGTAATTACGGCCAAATCGATTACGTAATGACCCCGTAATTGCGATATTTTTTTCACACATTTAAACCTATCATAACAACCAATTTAATCCATTTCTATTCCGAATGGAACATCGAAGTTTGGTTTTCATATTCCCGGCAGTACTACACGCCGACGACAGATGTTAAAGACAAATATCAAGGAGTGAATTCAAAATAATTTTATTCTGATTTTATCTTTTGTATTAGCTCTGGTTTTTTTTTATCCACTTTATCACCAAATTTTATGCGATCAATTTTATCATTATCAACACTGGTAATATATTTAGGAAACGATAGTTTACTTTTTTAAAATCGTATTAACGTATTAATACGACTTTCGTATTGAATAAAAATTCCGGGTTGCTAATTTATTAATCAACTACAAGCGTATTCTCTCGTTTGATTATACTTTCGCTTGCCTCGCGACGAAGACTTGTTATTTCTTGTATTAGTTAGCATTTTATAATAATTATTGATGCCGACCTATTGACGATATTCCGAATTCCATGCTTCATTTTACATTAAATCATTTCGCGGCCTAAAAGTTATAACATTATTTGCGATAAATTTAGATCAAATATTAATTATTTGCGCATTATTTATAATACCGTACTTATATGACATGCCTTCTCCGAAAATACAAAGTTATATCGCAAAACAATGCATTTTGTGACATTTATTTTGCACTCATGAAATTATTAATTTATTTTTCTAACTCAAGTCGACAATCCTATTTGCCAAGATTGACACAAGTTTGGTCGAGTGCCGGTGGTATTCGAGTCGACGATAAATCAAAATAAGTTGCCGCATTTGGTAACGACAGGTAATCATATTTGGCCGACATATTGCGAGGCATTGTGAAAAACATATTGAGCAATGCCAAGTCCGGACAGATATATAACGATAAAATCGGTAACAGAACATCAAGATTTTGTAATAGAAAATGGATCTCGCGCAGAATAAACACGAGAAATCCCGTCGTAATGTTGTTTCTCTGCCGTCTCAATCGCTTTACCGATGCAGAAAAGACTAAGTTGCGTTGGTTCATTACGTAATTTCTCTTCCGTCTTTATATTGCTGTTTGATAAGCGCGACATTAATTATCACGGCATTTACAAATAGATCTCTTACATTCTTTAGTCATTTCGCCCAAAGAAGTTGAAACCAAGTGTGTTGACGTCCATCGGTCTCAACACAATTCTATTCCATATCTACGGTTAAATATGTACATTGGCCATCCTAGTTAAGTTGATAACAGATTAGTAAATGACGCGTTATGCCTTCCCCATCTGCCTAACAAGAGAGAGAAAAACGGCTGCGAATACCGGAACTCTAACTTCTTTTACTTAAACTTTAATTTTTTACAATCGACGGAATTGACTGCTCTGAAGAGAGCTCGTTTCAATCGCGAAAGCGCTCGACCAATAATTACAACTTTACGTAATTCGTAACTTCGCTTCCGGAACTCGAAATAATTCCGTAATTCCGTAAATCCGTAAATTACGTGCAAGCCTAGCCACAATAAATGGCGTCACAATCCATCCGGCCATCGATGTGAAGAATGTAGATCCTGTTGTCCCAATACTGTTCAACGTAGTACTGGATTAAGCCTTCTCGGCCCACGAAGACGTGGGCCATCACTGGAAAGCGAGAGAATCCCCGCCCTTGGGCTAGCAGATGTACGTCATTATCGAGACGGAGGCCGAAGCAACCTTTCAACACTAAGAGGACCGCTTTCTAGCTACAGCTAGAGCAGGGTCGTCCAACCCGTGGCCCGCAGAGGTATTTCGAGTGGCCCGTTTAACTATTATTCGAGTGATGTAGTAGGCAAAAATACAAACGATTTGTTTATTTTCCTGAAATGCGCTCTGCCAGCCCTTTCAAACGAGCCATGAGTGCCATTTTGAATCGAAACCAACTGGGAGGAGATATCGATACATAAAGGTACCATAGTCGCTACGTACATACATAAAAATCACAATGTATACATAAAAGCAAGCTACTTCGTGGCAGAAATAATCGCAAAACAATCGAAGCCATTCTCAATGTATTGTACAGGTTGCCAATATTTTATGTCCGGAAATAAAAGAGGCGTTTGCAAAAATGTCTGATGGCGGCCCATCAATTTGTGAAAGTTTGCCGTGAGGGTGTCGTGTCCCTTATTATATTGGAGGCAAATAGACACGTAGTTCGTGTGAATGGAATAGTCTTTTATCTTAGCAGCAAAACAGTACCATCACGTAAACAACAGCCAACTCGAATTCCATTATTACGCGTCTGCGTCGACTAGACCCAGACGCTATTATTACGTCACAATACTAACATACACAACAAGGGTATTGTTTGTTTTTTCATTAACCTGTCTGTAGTCAGTGTAGCAAAACTGAAACATAACTACCATGTTGAGTGGCCCACGCACTTATTAATAAACTAAATGTGGGCCTTCGGCTAAAAAGGTTGGACGACCCTGAGCTAGAGGATGCGTCCTCCATCCAAATGTGAAAAAGTGTAGTAGCCTCTCGATCAAAGTTGATGGTAAGAAAAGAGATGGGTCGTAGATAGCAAAAATCGGAGCTCCTGAAGTATGTAAACCAAGATGGCGCACAACCTGAACATACTAATACCAGCTAAGGAATCAGGTTGTGCGCCATCTTGGTTTACATACTTCAGGAACTCCGATTTTTGCTATCTACGACCCATCTCTTTTCTTACAATCAACTTTTACACATAATTCGAGAGCACCCACAAATCTACTACAGAGAGACGGAGAGAAAGTAACAAGCATGAGGCTGGAAGAGGTGTATAGGTACTTGAGAATTAACATCAGTGCCCAAGAAAGACGAGAAACGCTCGGAGCCAAAGTACATCGGGGTCTCGAGGAATTGTCACACGCGCCTCTTAAAAACTTCAGCAACGGCTAAATTTTCTCCGTACCCATCTCATCCCCAAGGTATCAAACATATGGCGGAGTACAATGCGACCGGTCTGCTTTGCCGTCAAGTGACTGGACCCATGTTCAACTGCTGTTTGCATGGAATCCTTAAATATTTGCTACTGCAACCAAGATTTGCACTGACGACTGGTGCCCGGGCATTACAATGCGACCGTTTGCTTGGTAGACAAGCGACTGACCCATGTTCAACTGCAGTCCACATGGAGCCTTTTTCGTCTTCGACCTTCAAAGCTCTAATTTGAATATTAATGCGACTGTTCTGCCAGGCCGACAAGCGACTGACCCATGTTCAACCGCTGTTCACATGGAACCCTTTTCCTCTTCGACCTTCAAAGCTCTCACGAAAGATTACGAAAAATATGGCATACATGTAACCAACAACAAAAAATACTTTAATTGTGTGACAGGAGTCGCGAGTGACCTCGAAAGCAGCGACACCAACAACGCTGATTCACATTAGCGAATAAATTTTATGTAATAACCACAAGCAGGTTACAACAAAAACAGCATAAAAAGCTACATCCATTTTATAGAAGCTATCAAACGTATTTATTTTTAAGCAAAGAAGTCACAAATTAACATCGTGAACACGAAAACACAAATAAATCAGTTATTTCTCACTTAGAAATTTACCGGAAAAGTCAAGAAAATTAAATGAATGTACAATATGTACATAACATAGTGTGATAGTGAACAGAAATATTACAATTAGTCTTATTTTAGTTTATGTGGTTATGTATTTGAACAAAGGCAATATTATTTCTAGAAACAGGACTACGACACTAACAAATGTCCGAAAAAAACAACAAATAAATGATACTTATTAAATCAACTGCAATATCTAATTTATTTTCTTCTGAATTATTTTCGAAATCCACTATCTCGAAAATCGACTTTTCCTCTAAGTGTACTGTGATTTTTGCAGTCAATACAAAAACAAAAATCTGTGCAATTTAAGTTGATTTTGGCACACATGCATAAATTATTTTGACTATTTTTCTTACACTTGCAGTTTGC